AAGGGGGGGGGGGGGGGAGTAGACGGAAATGACGGTTCATCGACTTTCAATAGCGGATAAAAAATAATTTCGTTGCCTTCCGACCAAAAATACATTTTTCGTATTGAAAATAATCCAGTGGTCACCATAGGATGGGTTAATGGATACGTCAGGTCGTCATCGTCGCGACGCTCGTTCCGTCCGATCCGACGTCGACGTCGTATATGTGGCGCATGTGCCCGCGAAAACGCGCGACGCCGAAATGCGCGATTCTCAACGTCGACGTCGACGTCGAGCAGTTCAAACGTCGCGCGCCGTGCGGACGCTCCACTATTTTCAACAGTGACCAGTGATTTTCATAAAGTATTATAAGAGTTGTGGAATACTTGATTTTTAAAAATTTTACAATTACAAGCATTTTGCGAATGTGTAATTGCTGACACATGGTTGTTATATAATTCATAAATTTTTTTTATCAAGAAAAAAGACAAATTTTTAAAACGTTCAATATCCGTACTATGGACTTGACGGTAAGTGTCTTTTTTCCTAGTATGCATATACATATATTCTATATTTATAGTATATGGTAATACAAGTCGACTTAAATTTAGATCTCAGACTACTTCATGTGATTCTGAATCATTGTTATACGTTGAAATACAATCCAATTCCGAAATTTATTGATCACGCTAGATTTGTATTAAAAAAAATTAAATATGCAAAAAATTATTTTTCAAATTTTTTTATATAGTCGTAGATCTCACGTTGGTTTGAAAAATTGTACATTTCACACGTGGCCTAAAGGTTTTTTTAATTTATATATTATATTTTAGGTTAAGCCTTCTCCGAAGTTGTGTAACACAACGTCAAGTCGTGAAATACGACCGTTCAAATATTACGAAAGATACACTTTATGTCTGTTTTTCATAAGTTTTTTTATCTCTCGCAATGTTTGGATTAGGTTTCAGTGTATTTAAAACTCCTTTGATCGATTATTATTAGAGAAGTCAGAAAATAAACAAAAAGTGGATTTTACAAAATTTTACGAAAAAAAAAAGTTGACAAAAAATCCAAACTTAATAATCGACATTCATTAAGCGAGGAGTGACGTAAAGCGCGATAACGATAGCGCATAAACTTAGGACGGTACCACGTTGCCATTAAAAAGTCAAAGCAAAAAACAATCATCCCAAACGACATTAACAATTCTACTATCTCAATTACCAAATCAATTAAAACAATTACAGATTCTTTTATTAATCTCGCAATAGGCACACAGCATCCCGTCCAAATGATCTTCCCAAGAGCAAATTAATCGTGACTACCCACACGGTCACGTGCTTTATGAATGGTCCAGCCACCCCTTGAGGAAACAATCGCCAAGAATGAACAAAAGCGAATATACACATAGAGCGAAAAAGAATTAGTAGCTCGGTCGATAAAGTAGACACCTGAAATTCACCCGACTTTCATATAATTAAACAACGACATTGAAATCAGCTCAGAAACTATGATCCCCCCAGTACCAAAGCCTCGAAAAATTATTTCACCATTCTAAAAATATCCCAGGTCCCATTCCATCCCCATTGATTGATCGCATTGCGTTATCCGCCGAACGAGCGTTATGTTAAGTTGATAAATAGAAACAGAACTGCGGCTTATTATTAGCTCAATCATAATGCACTCAGTGTAAGGTTCGTCGGTTCACAAGAGCAGCACGTTAGTCCACGTATGATGTATAAATTACATGCACTTCTACAGGGTTGTTCAAAAATATTGCGCCGCCTTCAAATAGTTTCATCGCAAAACCGAAATAAGCTAACTTCAGTCGATACAATATTTCAGAGCACAACATTATTCAGGTTAAACGACCCACCTGAAGTTAGCCTGTTCGTTTGATATCGATGCTACAACTATTTGCGGTTGGTGCGTTTGTACTGAATAACTCTGTACACCATGCACTGTATACTATAATATATATAGGTTAGGTTAGTATCATACGTCATCCCACAACGTGGATATACATATCTATTTGACGGTACTAAGTACGTACTCACATGTAGATCCCACTCCGGACGTATCTGCCCACCCTAATACTACATATGATCCACATGGCACGCGACCCTATTACCACTACAGGTCCTTACAGAATTCCTACATGAATTGCTACGAAATTACGCAATGAGGTTAGTTTTGATTAATAATCACACACGCATTAAATATTAGGTATGGGATAAAGCTTTATGTGAATAACCCATAAGAATCTGAGAGTTTCACTTATGAGATGTAAATAATTAAATCGGGGAACTTGATGACGACCAAGTTTCATAGGTATTATTTAATGGTGAAGAAAGTGGACATATATATATAGGGTTGTTCATGGGATTCCTATGGGATTGAAAGGGGCAACGGGAGTGCCTTGTAATTCCTGGGAGCAATGGAGCTGGGATGTTTTAGTAATTTGCCGTTTTGTACTCGGCTATCGTTTACCGTGACTCTAGACACTTGCAAAACGTGACTTGCATGGCTATACGTATATTTCTTGCGATACTACTTTACTATGGTGGATTACAGGTGCTCCATTAGAAACATCATAAGATAGCTATGGCATTACGTGACTGGAATAGTATTGAATAATGAATTACGATTACCCATAAGTCCTTGCATTTAACGCATAAATCCTGCTACGACAACTGCTGTTAGTTCTAGGAATATCTAGAAATATATATATAAGTAAAAAATATATACAGGGTGGTCGTTATGAAACGCACTGTAGTAACATCGTTGCATTCCTTGTCAAATTCTAAGGAATACGTGTATTTTCATTTTTTATTTCATATATCAAATTTTCGAGATAATCAAGGTTGAAGTTGCAGTGATGCGACCAATCAGAACGCCTTTAACGGCGCGTAAGTGACGTCGCGAGCCAGCCCGCAAGGCCTGCTTACACTAGGCCAATGACACTAAAACTATCGTCTCTTGTATCTTACTCAATTACATGCAGATAAACGGGGACACTACGACGATACTCTTAGTGTTATTGGCCTACTGTAAGCAGGTCTTGCGGGCTGGCTCGCGACGTCATCTACGCTCTGTTTAAACGCGTTCTGATTGGTCGCATCACTGCAACTTCAACCTTGATTATCTCGAAAATTTGATATATGAAATAAAAAATGAAAATACACGTATTCCTTAGAATTTGACAAGGAATGCAACGATGTTACTACAGTGCGTTTCATAACGAACACCCTGTATATGTACTAATTCACAAATTTATAATGAGCAATCTCGGAATTTTCGATTTGCTTGTTCAACCCTTTGTCGAAGATTAAACACCTCTCCAGATTGATTTAATGTGATTGTACATTTAATGCTGTGATAAAGAATTTGGTTTTGGTTGGTATTTTTAAAGAATCTACAAATTTCTAGATCCTCTTATTAAGATAATATTTAAGAATTATTATTTTTCTTTTAAGATATGTATTAACAGATGTTCGACATTGCACATACATGCCAGGTGCTTCAAAATGGGATCAATCTGATATTTATTCAGCTGTAATCTCAATGGAATTTATCTGAAGCGAGGTATTCGGTGAATGCCAACTACTTTTCCAGTTTTGCTTGTCTTTCCAAAAATTCAGTAAAGCCTAAAAAAACAGAACAATATAAATAATATCATTTTATAATTAAACTTTTTTTTAGTTACCTTAGCCCCATTATCTTTCCATGGTTTTGTACGGTTATTAGTTCCTGTGAAATTGTCATTTACGCTCCGTTTAAACGCGTTCTGATTGGTCGCATCACTGCAACTTCAACCTTGATTATCTCGAAATTTTGATATATGAAATAAAAAATGAAAATACACGTATTCTTTAGAATTTGACAAGGAATGCAACGATGTTACTACAGTGCATTTCATAACGAACACCCTGTATATACAGGGTTCCAGTTGAAAACGTGTAATTATATTTGACAGCTGCCAAAAAGTCAGTAACACTTACGTATCATGCCACGTTAAGAATTTATAACAAAATAAATGGTAAACATTCACTTACGAAGCTTTAAGCTCGATTCATATCGTTCAATGAGTCACTCGAGTGTACTCGACGTTTGGATTGGAAAGTGACGCTGAAAAGTTTCCAAATGATCAAATGCAATTATTATTGTTTAATGGCATAGGACGGTTTTTGACTTTTTTCTTTTTTTTTTTTTTTTTTTTTTTTTTTTTTTTTTTTTTTTTTTTTTTTTTTTTTTTTTTTTTTTTTTTCCTTTCTTTGGCTAAGGGGAAGAAGAATTTACACGATATTTCCGTTCGCAGACTTAATCAAGATGGCGGTACATTCTGGTTTCCGGTATTCCACCACAATTTCCCTTTTCGTTTCCTTTTCTCGTGTTATCACTAGTCCCTCTCTCTCTCTCTCTCTCTCTCTCTCTCTCTCTCTCTCACACACACAGAAGAAATGACTGTGCCGTTCTGACGTGCGCCATGCTTTTCTGTTACTGACCGATGTCTCTTGTCACTTTGAATGAAAGTGGTATTGAGTTACTGTGTGGGAACGGCTGTTTCTTGCTTGATGCATTTTTGCTCTACGCTCCGTTTGGTTTTCTAATGTTTTCCATCGGTTTTGCGGATTCTCCTTACTGACATACTTGGCCGCGGATGTTGTCTGCGATCTGTAACGCGAACCATTCTGTGAACTGAAACTCGTCGAGAGCCCCACCTATTGTCATTATCTATTGATGCCGACTCTTGGACACTTTCTATTGGCTCTAATCTGTTGACATCGGTTATCGGCTCTGTTTCTATTTTATATGTAATATCCACTTGGAGGGGCCAGCACTAGATTTTGACTGGTTGGTTTCCTTACGCTTACGTCGTCAGGTTATTTTGTGTCTGTGAAGGGCTTTAGAATGTCAAAACAAAGGCGCGCTGCGGTCGGCGACGGGAAAGGAGCGACGACCGGCGCCCCCTGTGAGCATCCTTCCCAAATAAGCTCTGCCTAGTCGTGACGTCAGGTGTGATCCTCAAAATAAGTAATTGGGGCTTTAAAGGCCCACTGTCTAGCATGCCCAAATTACGATCAGCCGGACATTCTCCAGTGTATAAATAACCGCCTGTACAAACTCGACTCCCTTACGGCTCACGTGGACAGCCTTCGTAAAGAGGTAAATCTGCTCGCTGGGGACAATGCCGCCTTTATAAACGCCTTGCTAGAAGTCGAGCAAACGGTCGCGACTACAGAAGACGTCACTGGTCCGATCAAGACTACTGGCAAAGAGAAATGCGACGAACTTATTGCCGTCAAGAAATTGAAGCCTGACCTTAGGGCTCCCTCTGTCGATGCTTCCTTAGCGGATTAGAAAATATACATTAATAAACGGCACCCGCTGCAATTACATAAGTTGCCTGACCGAATCGTCAAGAGTTTCTCATCTGTCAGCCTAAGATTTGAATGAATCAGTGATGCTGCCATCTTTGCGAAAGAGAATGCTCACTCGAAGTCCCTCAAAATTTTGCCATCTGTGGACCTGTCGCAACTCTCTTTATGACTCTTTGGAATAACCGTATACTCCTCTTGAGAGCATTTTCTGCAAAGCTTCTTTGATACTTTGCGTTCCTTCCACTTCCTTATTATACTATACTCTATTGTGCTTCGATATTTCCTAGTCTAATTCTATGTTTACCGTGTTAGCTTGTTACCTTAAACCATGTTGGCTTTAAGTATTCACTTTTACATTTTTCGCTATGGTCCTCAAGGATCTAAGATCCAGGATCAAATAAATCCTACTCTGTTCTATTCTGTTCTCTCTCCTCTCCCTGCCAATGTCTGCCAATTTTATCTCCCTCTTTTTCACGACTGAAATCTCCTATCGCGTGGAAATTAATTGCGTTTTAATATCTTCAACAGAACTTCACCCGACTCCTATCCCATTTCCGTCACGATAACAGCGGAAGCTGTTACGGTATTCCATCTTCCTCTTATTCATACGAAAACTGCTTTGGTTAAACCAAGACTCCGCTCTGCTCCTGGTATAACTTTACCTTATGTAACCTCAACTTTAGCCACATTTTAACCTGAGCTCACATTCTTTTTCTTGTAGGTCACCATGGCCTCCATGCCCATTGCTCTGCACAGTCGAAAATTTGATGGTACTCTTATTTTTCTTTTTAAGCGTTAGTCCTAAATACGAAAAAAAAGGTAAATATTTGTCTCGGCTCAAAATTCACTGTATAGATATATCGTGCACGTAAGTACGAAAAACTTTTTAAAATTTCATATTTTTATTTTCGTATGAAGGCTTTTTATGACATAAAACACGAAATTAAGAATTTTTATTATATTTTCACTAATTTATTTTTCAATTTAAAATATTGCATTTTTTTCATTTTTCTTATTGTCTCGCGTAAGAGTACCTGGTATTGTTATCATTATTATTATCTATCTTCATTAGTTGGTAGGTGAGAGAAGGATGATATAACGTCATGATATAACATTTACGGAAAGGGAAATGTAGGTCTGGATATATCGGTTCATATCCTGAGATATGTATAGTCGGTGTTATATCCATATATGTGTATATATGTATATTAAAGGGATTTCACGAATAAGGGATGATCCTGTATACGGCTGAGAAATGATAGAGTCATATTTTTTCACGTAAAATATTAACGGATTTGTCCGCCTAAGAGTCACTGCCGAGTTTGCCGTCTATGTTCCATATTATCGTTGTCTGCTTCGCACTTACCCTCTGTTATTGGAATAAAGCCAGAGAGCGATAGGAGGAGAGAAAAGGGGGTGTTAAGAAAGGAAAAAAAAACGCTTATTATTCCAAGAATGACAATCCCATAGAATTTATGGAGTTTCATAATCCTGTAATTTTTGCGATGGAAGGATTGTATTGAAGAATTGTCCAGGGGGATGAAATTGAAGAAAAAAAAAAGAAAAAAAACGAAAAACGAATAAACAACTGTGTATTCTAAAATATCTTTCTAGAGCAGTTTGCATTGGTACCCTGCTAACTAATTAATTTGCTACTTTTCCAATAACCGCACCATTTTTTTCATCCCCGAAAAGGATTAAACTTTACAATAGGTTTGAGAAGTTAAGCGGAGGGACTATAATAAGGGTGGCTCGACCATGGTAAATATCCTTGCGAACTTTAATTTGCCGGGAACATAGGGGTTGAAACTAGGTTAGGTTAGGTTAAGTCAGATCAAAGGTTAACCACAACAATTTTGAATTTTTTATTTTTCCAAAAATCCCGAAACCTCCCTAATTTTCGAGTTTAATACTCTTTGCGTCGCTTTTAAATTCGATTAACGAAGCGACGCCAGACGTCGAGTTTCGTCGACGCCTTCCACACACACACGGAACATTGCCTCAACGCGTTTTCACCGTTGAGTGAGAGTTCCTTGACTTTCAAAATCACGTTAAACTCAGTCATAGGAGTATATGCATATATATATTAAATGCAAGGCGTCTATGTAACACAGAAAACTTAGTTATCTCGTTGTCATCCCCTTTTAACATTACATAGTACCTACCCCGTGCTATGAGAATATGGCAAAAACTAACGCAGACCTTTCGCCTGGACTGAAAAACTTTTTCCCAAGTTTCAAAAAGTTCCCTGGATTCTTCTACCGACGTAATGATTACGTGCGCACACCCCCCTTTCCTCCCTTTATGAATACGCGAGTTTCTGTTTTGTTTGGCTACCAGAAATTGTAAAAGTTTTTTTTTTCAACTTCCTCTCTTTATCGCTACATTCGTGAAAGACGCGTTCGCAAAACGCAAATTCTTGCAATTTCATCGTTAAGCAGTCTCGTGGATGCCCAAAGTTTCGCGTGAAATTAGGGAACATCACGAGGCAACGAAAAGCTGGTCCAAACGTATAGCGATGGTTATATTGGCTACGTCATTGGCGTTCGTCCAAAAGTAGGCGAACGATAACAAACGATATTTGCCATTAACCGAATTAAAGCTTAATGCGAAATTCGATTGATTAGACCGGCCAACTCGTTCGAAGCAGATACTACCAACTTGACACCGTCCTAAATAAACCATATACCGAAAACAGTGTGAAGACTCGAATAAAATAGCTGCATATTTTAAGCAGAACGAGCACGTCAAATATTACCTGTCAAAATGTATCAGTAAATAATATAATAAAGAAAGATCCTATAGAAAAACACTGACCTTCCGACCTGAAGAGATGAAAAATTCTGCTTACAACTTTCATCGATACCCACAACAGGCCGAAGCTTAAAGTAGGTTAGACGTAAGGAATCACGTCCATCACCGGAAGTGAACTCCGTTAGCCGTCGATCCCTGTGCAAAGTGTTGCCAACAGAGTTTAATCAGAAATTACTAAATATCTAGAAAGACATCTATACGTCAAGCTGAGTAGCACGAGCGCACTCAGATTAATGCGGCCGCTCCCCTAGAGAGGGCAGTAGGGTTTGCCGATGCCAACCCATGATTCACCATGGCCCAAACCGTCTTGGCAAATTTACTACGGAATTGACAGTGGTAAAAAAGTGTTATCATGAAGGAGGTATAGCCCATGGAAAGGAATAGGGAAAACAAGTAATACATAGAAAGAGTGAGTGAGAGAGATGGGCAGAGTAAGAAAAAGCTACACAGGACCAAGTGAACGGATGGAGGAAAAATAAAAACTCCAAGCTGATACATTCCATGGATTCCATGTTTATCAGACAGTCTCCCGGCTGACGGATACTGACAGACGAGCGCTGCCTATTATACTATGTGATAGCTTTGTGTAGTCCTGATCAATTATTTGGTAATAATTAGAATAGTATGCATTTATACTTTACTTTACTTTTCTTTCTCATATTTATTTTTATATTTTTCATGTTTATTGTTAGATTTTGAAAACTCTTTATTTATCGATTATAGATTGCAAATGCTGTTTCTAATCGACTCTGCAAATTTTCATTGCAATGATCCCAGCTCGGATATGTCTAATCGATAGACAAGACTGCTTCGACACTCCTGATGTCTAATCGGAGAAATCGATTAATCAATCACAGCACGCGGTGACGTATCGATAGGCTTTCGTGTGCAGAATTAACGAGACCCCACACAGAGAAAGTACACGGTAAACCGCTGTTAATTACGACAGCCACACCTAACCTATTTACTTAGACTGGTCCCTGTTAACAGTTTACCTAATTTGCGTAGGTTCGCCCGGCTGCTTTGAACGTAGTGAAGCCACTGGAAGACGCTTAGAAATCGTTGGTCCCGCATAGGAGTTATGCTGCTGAAATTCTTTGCGGCAATGAAAAAAAAGAAAATTTTTAAAAACAGATTATCGAGGCCTTTGTCCGGAAATTAATACGCTTTGACTCTGGTTCTAGTGTGAATTAGGAATTGCTAATAATGCACGAGATCTCGTTGATCATCTCGAAACTCAAGTGTAAGGGCATTTCGTATGTCTACTGGTCTATTTTAATTATTTATTACAGGATACCCGTCGTCAAGTATTTATCATTTATACTGGATGTTATCACTGAAGGAGATACTGGTAAAGAGGTCCCTGTATATTGTGTGGCTCAGAGGCATTTCAATCCCCTTTAAAATGTTATGATTTCAACATATCCTCCATGCCCACTGTGCCCACTAGTAGTCATACACACACAATTCCATATGGCTGGTCCTCTTTATTAGTATCTCCTCGGTGCTTTTACAGACGTTTCCTATATATAGGGTAATTCATAAGAAACGTACCACCTGAAGTTTGCTTGTCCATTTAATTTCTATTGTAGAACCACCTTCAAGTGATCTACTGAATAATCATATTTAGATTCTGTACTATGTACAGTCTCTAATCTCAGGGAATATACAAAGAGAATCAAAATACATGATTGTACCTCTACTGTAATTATACATGTATAGTTAGTTGTAGGTTAGATTACATAGGATCACATAAAGCTTTTGGAATGCTTTGAAAATCTCTCTAACAGGGCTCTTGTATGGGTAGAACATTCAAATAAGTCTTGAATTACGACCTTTTCGAATTGTCCTCTTTCATCTTTTTTATTGCCGTTTGGAAAATGTTTTACTAATTCTGACGTTCTTTGATCCAGCCTATACGTATTAGAAATATTCTGCTACCCAAACGATAATCGATAAAATTCACATCCCTGCAACAAATTATTATAGGGAATCTGTTTTGCGTTTCTTTTGAACATGAGTCTATGTTCCGTCATTTTGTTTTTATAATTTTTTTCGAAATTTTGCATTGATCATTCGAAAATAAAAATTAGGATTTTCTACTGATACAATCCTGTACTTCAGCTGGAGAATACGACCGGATGTTACGTCACTTGCGCTGCCACAAGGATAGATAGGTACCCGACCACCATTCATCCCTCAAGATAGATACGTAGTCCCGTGGGAAGATGCCTGGAAAATGAATGGGATATCCCGTTACTCTACGGTGTAGTCAGCTCCATACACGCACCGGAGCTTTGAACATCTTCGTGACGTAATATTAATTATCCAAGATTGCAAGTGTAGGAAGTTACTTTATATTACTATATGTATCACTATCCTATACCTAAATTTTTAGATTGTAGATTTATTAGTATCTCGCTCAATGAGACCATATTGAATGTTCATAGATATATGCGTGTTTTGAAAAATCTCTTGATTCCTCACGATTATCTAAAAATATTGTGAAAACCATGAAATTTGTGATATCCAAACGACAATACGTTTTTGAAAAATTCAATCTCCCGTCTTGTCTGTTTCAGAACGGATATCAATTTTGAATAGTTTCTAGTCGATGCAATTCAATATCGGAACAGACGCGCTGTGAAAAGTTCGGATTCACGCTCAAGAAAGATGGCATATGTCAAAGTTCAAAACTGATAAGAAGTACACGTGCCTATTCGGAATGTAGTCAAGTGTTGAACTTTGCCAACTAACTATTGAACAAGATTCCTAAACATCATAACTGATAACATGTAAAATAAGTTCCACAAGAAATTTTTCAATTTAAAAAAATGAAAAGTGATTATGCACCCTTTAAAAGGACAGTCAAAATACAATACAGATGCAAGATGAACGATGATAAAACATTCTTCAAAAAATGACTCGAAATAATAAAATCCTCAGTCCCATAATGAACAAGTATTAAATTTCAAAAATTCTCCACGCAATGCAAACGACAAGAAAAACAAGCGGACAATATTTTCTCTAGTCACTACAAGAATGATTGATATAATAGAACGAAGTCATGGTATCAAATTGTACACCCGTTAGACATTTTCACCGTGGTACCTGGAGAGAAAAATCTCAGCACCATGATGATCTTGCTGGTATCCTGCTGGTGGTCCTTGACGACGATTTCCCAATCACTCAGGACCGGTGATCCTTCAGCTAGAGTCCGTGGGGACCTGGTGGTCGGTGCACTTTTCAGTGTTCATCAGACACCCCGTGGTGGTCAGGGTGCACTTGTCTGCGGACCCGTCCGAGAGGTATACGGCATCCAGAGGGTGGAAACAGCCCTGATCACCCTAGACAAGATAAATCGGGACACCACAATATTGCCAGGTATGTACTCTGTTTTGGGTATCTTTCAAAATATGACGTCCGCTATACCCACCTCGTGCATCAGGAGTCACACTGGGTTTGGAAGCTCGCGACTCGTGCTGGTCAGCTCCAGTTGCTCTGCAACAAAGTATCGAGTTAGTACGTGATGCGATTACGCCAGCGCTTACGCAGCCCGAACATCCGGACAATTCTGCTAACTGTCTATTGGATTCGTTACAGGTGAAATTAAATCGTCTGTATAATTCGTGTAATTAATTTAAAACCGCCTTGTTAATTGGCTTGACGGGCTGCAATTGTTTTAGACGGAGACGCCGGTGACTAAGGCGCCACTTATAGGTGTGGTGGGTCCGGGCTCTAGCTCGGTAACGCTCCAGGTTCAAAATTTGCTCCAACTTTTTTCCATTCCTCAGGTAACGAGCGGATACTATTACTTTGTATAAAAAATATATTAAGGGAAAAACTATATATCTGATGTAGATTGGATATTCATCAACTTCGAGGGATCTCAGCGATAAGAGTAGATACTCCACGTTTCTGCGTGTGGTTCCCTCTGATTATTATCAGGCCCAACTATTAGTTGATCTTGTGCGAAATTTCAATTGGACCTACGTATCGATTGTGAATACCGACGGTGAGTAATAATTGATAATAAACATATAAAATAGAAGTAACTCTGTGAGAAAGATGGGAGAGGTTGATCATCTACTATGTTACTAAGAAGGTTGATAAATTAATAATAAAAAGAAGCGTTGGTCAAATAAAACAAAACAGACAAAATAAAACAAAATTTTACGCAATTGCACTTTACTAAAAAAAATTATAAGCTCCTTGGATCCTACTTTCTACTTTCAACGTCCCTGCTTTAATTAAAAAGTCTGTGTACATGAATGGTAAATCCTGATTAGACTGCAAGTCAAATTGAAAATACAGGGTTTCGAAAGATGAAATCCATCCAACTAATTTCCACAACGATAACCCCCGGTTGATCATGTCACGGCCTACTAATTTCATTTTTACAATTTTTTTTCTGACTGATTACAACTTGTTTTTCTTTATTATTACCTTCTCATCCGTGCAGACATTTCGTCTCCTTTTTCGGAGGCTTTTCAAATCGAGAACAAGCAAAAAGTCAAAATAAAAAGAGCACGCGTACACAAAAGCCAGGCGCATCATACAAATCATTAATTAGGCTATGCATCTACAAGTACAACTGTATATCCAAGTAACGTATCCACTAGGGTGACACGGAAAATTAATTACCATACTGAAGAAGGAACTGGCTAATTAGCAGACTTATTCAATTGTTTGTATTATTATTGTTACCTGGGAACAAATCTGGACATAGTATTTATCATTCTCAATCCATTTTGAACACACGAAATGTCACTATTTCCTCGAGGATGAACTAAACCGGCTCAACTCGGTGAAAATTTTTACTTTTTACTATCGCACGAGAACAAGAGACACAGAGGTAGACAAAGTGGATCTCGTGTAGCCGAGTTAGGTCCAATCGAAAAAGCTATAAGAATGCAGTCCCGTCAAATTGTACCTTCCAGCTGTCACTAAGTAATTAACCTTTCTGCCACCAGACGTCGCATTCTCGATTTGTGTCCCCAGTAGAGTACGAAAGCTTCTATGGAAACTGCCGGATGTCGTGGGCAACGAGCCCACCGCTATTACCGCTACGCCGGAAGTCACGTGATTGGCGAGCTATTGGGGCTCGAAGAAGCCAAGAGATTAGGTTAGGTTTTGCGCGGCGCTATCGGCTAATTACATTACGGTTGTGCGGCGCTCGCGTCGAGTGGAAACGCCGGGGTATTGGAAGGCGAGAGACATGGCGGGTAGATTTGATTTTCTACAGGAAGTCGATATAGAGAGAGGAAGTGGAAGTGAGTATCGGTTGTGGTGCACTTTTATTGGTCGGTTAGAGACAGTACGATCAAGCAGGTCAGCTACCCGGGAATGTTATTTTTTTTCTGTAAAGCAAATAGAAAATTGAGAGCACAACCAGTGGCGTATGGCTGCATTAATTATAACTTTCAGAGAATTATGGCCAAAGCGGTATGCAGGCATTTCGTGAACTTGCCGAAAAAAGTGGCGTATGCGTAGCCCGTGAAGACGCCGTCCTCTCGACGGCGGAGGACGATGCCTTTGACGCCGTTCTTGAAAATCTTGATCAGGATCATGCTGCTAACGTCGTCGTTTGCTTTTGCGAGGGGATGACGATGCATGGACTTTTGGCAGCTTCAAAAAGGCTCAATCTTACTGGAAGATTCCTATTTATAGGCAGGTCAGTGTTTTTGACTTTGTACGTCTTTACTTCCTATCACCGATGGATGCTCTCTAGTTGATAATTTAAAGATAATTACTGGCTGTAAAGCTATAAACAGGTAAACCTACAATTAGAATGAAATTCCATCCCCGCGGCACCAATTAATATTCTCGGTAATTAGAAATCGATTATTATCCATTCTTGTTATACGTAATAGCGACGGATGGGCCGACCGCGACGAAGTCGTCGAGGGCTTGGAGGACGAAGCCTGGGGCAGCCTGTCAATACGGATTCATTCACCCTACGTGTCTGAATTCGATGACCACTACTTCAACCTAAATCCCTTTAACAACACGCGAAATCCATGGTTCGCTGAATTCTGGCAGCACAAATTTAATTGCGTGTTGCCGGAAATGCCTGCGGATGAGGACTATCTCTCATTGCCATTGACAACCACGGAATTGCCAAGGACCAAGAGGACTTGTACGGGTAAGATAATCAAGAGAGATGGACAAATAATATTTCTTTATTTACTCTCACTGAGGAAAGCTTGAGGTTGTATGCTGTGTTCTATTTCGTCGTTGCGAATAAACTCCTGTAATTGCAATTCCATATATCGTGTGCAACTACAACTTGGAATTGTACCGTAATTAATTCGTTCTGTGTCTACGGAACGGTAACGAGAGTAACGAGACCGACTTTTCAAAGTGGAATGTTTTAGGCAAATGCAAAACCGGGTTCGATTCGTCGCATGCATGCATGCATTTGTACATATATGCATGCATACATATAACTTGCATTGCAGTGCATATAGAGCAGAACGGCACGATAACGGAATACAAAACAAGGATTAATTGATTTGTACGCAAATTTGATTAGTTAACGATGGGCAATAAACACGATTTGTAATTGACAATTGTTATGATGATTATTGAGGAATTGCATTCGTATATTAATTGAGTGTCTGTTTTTCTTCTTTCAGGCAATGAGACACTTGCTGATAAATACAAGCAGGATCCAAAAATGAGTTTTGTTATGAAATCCTTCTGGGCAATAGCGCATGGACTTCACAATATGCTTGAAGAAATATGCGGTCATGATTATGATGGTGTCTGCAAGGAGGTGTATCCATTTAATGGAACTCTATTCAAGGTACTGAAGTCAAATGGAAAATAAAAAAGTTGAAATAATAAGCTGGATGACTTGAAGAAGCATTTTTACTTTCTGCTTTCTTTATTAAATATATTCCTTAATTACAGTCTTGAATGTTTCTTATACTTTTGTCATTAATATTCGTTATCTCTTTTTATATGGAATGCAGAATCATCTAATGAACATTACCTTCAACTTTGGGCAAGAGGAGGTCGAGTTTGATCGTCGTGGCGATCCTCCGGGCAGGTCGGTGCGTATGGCGATTTCCAATTATTCCAAAGGAACAACGCATAATTTAATTTCAAACCCATGTTTTCTTTATTTACGTTGCGTCTAGTGCACGTGACTACGTGTTCTATTATCTTTTTCATATTATATGTGACTTTTGATGTATTTACATGCAAGAGTCAATAAAGACACCTTGATCGTTGATACGTTCCTCGTCTGCAGATACGAGATACTCAACTTTCAACGCTTTCCAAACGGCACTTATGGCTACATGCAGATCGGTGACTGGAACAACGGCACCCTGTCGCCTTTGGCTTATCCCCAATCTCGAGGTACAGAACTGGTAGAGAGTGTCTGTTCCAAACCATGTCCTCCAGGATACTACAAGGTAATAAGATTTTATTAAAATATTCGATTTGAAGAAAAAAATATAGTAGCTGTAAGGAAATCAAAGATAATATAAGAATTGAAGCGTAACTGACTGTGGATTATCTTCTTCATTGGAACAGGGATTTGAAGGCGGCCATAAGTTTTATAGTAAGGGATGTTATATGATGTACATACAGAAGATAGTCGTTATCAGGATTAATGATAAGATAAACAAAGTCGAAGAAGAGCGTGGCTTTGGAGTGTCTTGGAAATTTTTCAAAAAAAGTCTGTGTTTCACAAACTTTCTATAGAAAATTTTATTCTTGGGGTGGACTGTACCTTACCTAATTGTCCGCTTTAGCGATTTCTGAATGCGAGCCAAATAGCGTGGAATCATCCCCTTACAACCGTTTTGCAACCCCTTTTAGTTGGAATCGTCTGAACCGCAACCGCCGCTTTCCTACTGGTTCTCGTATTTCGACTATTCCGCCATTACTATATCTATTTCTTGGTGATTCCTGATATTTCCTCCCTAACTGTAAATAAGACCCCCCCCTAGTCTACGATATGGCACAGAAACGGTCATTTTTCAAAGGCATTTCTGTTTGCGTCTGCGTTTTTTTCTACCTTACCGACCCTCCCATCAAATATATATGCCTGCACAAAGTCGTGGCAGTCGCGGTGGACGAGTTACAATTTTTTTTTCTTTTCTTTTTTTTGACGCCTTTATATCATTTTATAGTTCTCTCCACCCCCTCATTACTCTCTTCCTCTTCTCCTCAGTCTCTCTTCACTTCTTCCTTGATTCCTTAGACGACCAGAAGTGTCTTCGCGAGAGTCGTTCTTTTTGTTGCCGTGACCCTTTTTGTCTAGCGCCACGGACAAGATGGCCGACACTTCCGTTCCTTTAGAAAAAGAGAAGACAGGGTCCGAGGAAAGGGACAAGAGTATAGGTATACAAACACACACGTGTGCGCGCCTGCGTTTCACTCATAGTGATGTTTATGTCTGTAGTTTAGTTACTCATAAGTAGGCATATACATATATGTAAATATAAATGACTATGCTAATTCACAGTCGTTCATCTACGCCAGTAAAAAATATTTACACAGTGGCACCCCAACCGGAAAAAGCTGCCATCTCGCAGGACTTTTTTTTATCTCTGATTCATTCAAGAATATACCGTACACTCCCGGTGGCTCCGACCACTTTTAATTATTGACTCGCCACTAATTAGTAGCAATTCCACAAGAGGAGGTCTCTGGATAAATTATTGCGAATTAAAGAGATTTGTCGGATTAATTTTTCTCTCTCTCTCTCTCTGTCTCGCTTTTTCTATTTACTCCACTTTCTCTTACTGAATTAATTATACGCTCAACGTAACAAATGTGAGCACTGTACTCACATGTCATACTGTTCCTTACAGAATTTTAAAACTGGCGGCCAGGAAAAGAGATGCTGCTGGGCATGCGTCAAATGCGAGGATCACGAATACGCTGATGAGAGTCAATTAAGCTGCACCGCATGTCCTAGCGGCGAGTGGCCGAACGAAAATAAAACTGGTAAGCATCATTTTTACCCTAAAAATTTTCATGAGCTCTTCCTTCCACAGAACGTTGAAGTCCAAGGTTTCTTTATGGACTTTGGTCAATTCCATGAAACGCAATTGCAGTACGGATATCACGGCTGAAATAGTCACTATGACGTATAGGAAAAAAAGTGAAAAAGAATATAAAGATCTGGAAAAAATGTATCTCAAGACGTAAAATCCACTTTATATTTTTTTTCATAATCCACGTGTCACATGTTATTTACATTAAACTTATATCGTTATCATTTCAAAGAGCTCACTTACAGTATATACCAGAAAGGTCCTTCACTTTCTAATGGACTTTTGAATTATCGGTTTCCAGCCAACAAGTATATCACTGTATACATAGTCTGCTCTTCATCTGAAAATAGATAAAATCTATATATATATACATATACACAGAAAAATCGAATCTGCAGTCACTGTACGTTTTATATAATCTAGAGTTACATATAGATAGTACAGTTACTGGCTTCAATACTGATTTATCTCTAGATACCCCCTATGTATATAAAGCATACATACAATGGATTATATTGTACTTTCTAATGGAGTTATCGATCCCACTCCAGGTACAGTTAAGATAGGTGGATAATACCTACTACAAATTTAATACAGACTTATATGAATTCATTGAAAAATTTTCTGTATAAAGGAGTTTACAGAATATTTATTGTGCTCATATCATTTGCTTTCTTTTCTTATGCGTACACAGGCTGCTACGTCATCCCAATGGAGTATATATCCTGGGGGGATGCTGAAGCTATGGTTGCTATGACATTCAGTGCTGTGGGTCTTATGGCTACTTTTGCGACCTGTCGCATATTCATACGTCATAATGACACTCCAGTAGTCAAGGCCAGCACCAGGGAACTCAGCTACGTCATTCTCGCGGGCATGACCCTGGCGCATATTGCAGTGAGTACTGGATTTAGTAGGGAAAGTGAGAGATTTAAGTTTAAAAATCAGGTAAAGTTGCTATGCTTAATTTTTTTTTTCATGCTTTTATACTTTACTTTGGGATTATCTTTTTTTTGTTGTACCTTGTTAACAGTGAGTTTGCGACGAAACGAATTCCTGATGGCTGTCAAAATTTCCTGAAGCAATCCAAAGCAAAGTATTTAAACTTATTTTGGCTGTTTCGCTTTATTTATTTTTCCCGCACGTCCTTTTCCAGATGCTTGCAAAAGAGAAATATGGAAAAAAAAAGAAAGTCGTCTTACATAAAGATACAGCCGTAGAATTTTGAAAATTCACTGGACCCTGGAGCGACGTTCTATTTATGTATCCTTATGCATATATACGAGCAGTGTCACTACCCAGGACTGCCTAGTGAATTTCAGAAGAACCTGAAACGCGAAAATGGCCGTGGGCCTTGTAGCAAAGCCATTTATACATAATTTGCGAAAGGAGAAACGGAATGCCGAATACTGCTGGGGCGATATCCTTAAATATTACAATCTTATATTAAATATCCAGGACGCCCCTCGAAACGCGAGAGCCACGTATCTCTTAAATTTCCAAACATTAAAGAAACACAATAAGAAAAATATATTTTGTAAAATAATTGCAGATATTCCCAATATTAGCAAAACCCACCAAGATATCATGCGCCTTGACAAGGCTTATGCCAGGCATAAGCTTCGCAATGATGTACGCCAGCCTCTTCACCAAAACAAACAGAATAGCCAGGATATTGGCAGGTTCGAAAAAAAGATTCCCAACGAGAAAACCACTCTTCATGTCCGGTACCGCACAGGTGAGCATTAAAAAAGTACAATAAACTTGATGAATCTCAAAAACAATCTTTCAACCCCTTGCATCTCTCTCTTCGTTCAAAAAATCCAGGTTGTCATCACATGCATACTCATCTTCGTCGAAGCAGGCGTCGCGACGGTGATGCTGCTCATAGAACCGTCCACACCTCGTCTAGAATTTCCATCTCGCAACAGGGCAGTTCTCACGTGTGCGATGTCGCCACGTGCCGTCCTGTCACCATTGGCATTCGACGCTCTTCTTCTAGGCCTCTGTACCCTTTATGCCGTGAAGACACGCAACGTTCCAGAAAACTTTAACGAGGCCAAATTCATTGGGTTCGCCATGTACACCACGTGTGTGATATGGGTGGCATTTGTGCCTATATATTTTGGAAGCGAATCAAAGGTATGTACCTGCATTGTCCATGTATACCTATATCGTTGTAGATGGATGCTGTGGTCCAGCGAAAATTCAATGCTTGATCAGTGGGACGTATTAATTACTGACTGCAGGTGATAACTATGTGCATGTGCGTGACATTAAGCGCATCGGTCACTCTGATCTTCCTCTTCCTGCCAAAGCTCTACATAATAGTACTACGACCGGAGAAGAATAATAGGGCCCTCTTCACGACCAGCAAGTCGATTCGCTGTCACATTGGAGCACGAGTGGCAGCTGCCATTGCTGAACCACCGTCAAAGCAAACAATATACAGATTATCGGGTGCTGGAGAGACGGAATCGATAGGTGAGCAATAGCAGTGATTGGAAAGGATGATTAGATGGTAATTAGGTATTAGATTGTATGATAGTGATGTCATTTTATGTTGCGTCGTTTTCGCTGGAGAGAAATGTGTAGTGTAAATATTCCTGAAATTTTCATTTATCTTTCTTTTATGTCTCGTGCAAGGGGAGAGACGTCGCGACCCTTTTAAAACACCCCGTAAAACTTTGTATCCCGGCAAACATTCTCTCTGGAAATTTACGCTTCGTCGCCTCGTTTATACACAGGGTGTGCACATTTTTTTTTAGTACTGTTTTCATTACTCTTATGACGCTCATAGGAGCGTATGGATACATTTGTTCGTTGTTGTTTTTTATATAAAGAACGGATACTTGAATTTAAATCAGCACTCGGCTTCAATTCGTTCAAAAAGTATCGTTGTTATATGATTTGATTGGTGAGATATTACGATTTCCGACAATAGATTCATATACATTTTTAATTATAAAAATTTTGTGAAAAATCAATATTTTGAATTATTTAATAATTATGGCTAATACGCATCCATAGGAGAATTATTGATGAAAATCCAGGAATTTAGATCGTCTATATATCTGTCCTTGTCTTGTGTACGTAAGCGCCCTTAAGGCCATCTCTCTCGCACTCGCGGCAGGTATAGAAAACTTCAAAATTCTAAGTGCCCAACATTTCTGTGCATCTACATTTAATACTTTTTCACTCTCTGTTCAAACTACTGTCTTGTTTAGATAGATGAATAATTTTTTTCTTTTTCCTTTTTCTTTGTAAACCAATGTACAGCTTACAAACACAACGTGTCGCGACGCACAGCGTCGGTACAAACTGGTCCGGAATTGTTGAACGGCGTGCTAGACGCACAAGGGAGTAGTCCAGGTAAAACGGCAAAACCAAGAAACCAACTGGCAAAATGGATTCCACGAGAGTCCTGCAATTCTCGATCCACGGAATTTTCGAGGATTAGCAAATCCAGTGAGAGTTTGTGCAATGCGTCCCGACGCCCGGCGTCTAATCGTACACGAGGTCACCGTCGCTTGCAAGAAAAAAATACGCACCTCGGAGTCTACATAGGTGGTTCGCAATTGGAATTGTCGGAATGGGCAGAATTGGATGCTAGACGCCTTGTAAATGATCTTCGAAAACGGTGAATATTAAAAATATAGTTTTTTATTTATTTTTTGTAAACTCAAGAATTTCTCTATTAATTATTTCTTTCACAGTTCTCCGGTAAGAGAAGCTAACTTGAGAGCGGTGGACGCGAAACAGACTACAGAAAATACGGAGCGTCGCAATTCTATGAGGTCGTGGACGTCGAAGTCGACGCTTCGTGGCAATTGTGTCAGGTCCACCCCATCAAAAGTGGTTGTGACCAAAATAAAGGATGACACGGCCGCGCGTATTCGCGAAGAGAATGATCATCTCGCTGAAAATGACGATTCTGTCATTAAAATCACTATTACGCTTGGCGGTGATTTGGCAGGTGGTCATGTGGATATCGAACAAACCGGATAATTGTAAGGCTAAAGATTTTCTTGTCATCCATTAAGTTTTTCCTTCTTTTATTTTTATTTAATTAAAATTAAATTATCGAGACGGTGCCAAGTGAGATTTTACAATAATGCCAGTCTGGCCGAAGAATTCGTCGATCGATCATCAAGTTTATAAGTGGAACCAAATGTGTTTTCATGGAACAAGTAGCTGTATATATTATTGCCAAGTCTCTACGTGTATTTTACATACTTAAAACGAAAGGAAAATATCTTGCCAATAATTTTGCATTTTTTTACAATTGAAAAAAATATATACACTAATAGGTGCTGTACTCAGTTTTACGTGCGTCTTGTCAATTAGCAATAGAACTATTTATTTATACAGTGGAATTCCTTTTACAATACACGTTCGACTAAGTTTTAAGCGATGGGATCAAGCAATTTAAAAGAACTCATTTAAGTACCTAATTACGTACGTTAAGTGTTATTAAGCGTTATGCGTGCACCGGTGTAAGTTACACTTAATGAAGATAAAGAAACATATGTAAAATGGAACAAGATTCGAAACAACAAAAAGAGAAATAATACTATTAGTTATAATTAGAGTGACATAATTTTAATATAGTCCAATATGAATTAGCCTGTAGAGAGACAATCAATGAATGCAATAATAAAACGGAGTAGCATACAATCCAAGAAAAAGTCAAAGAGTATTATGCATCAAACTAGTCTCGGCAGTGTAATTTACCATTGAAATAATATGAGATTAGAAAAATAAACAGAATAATGAGAAGAAAATGAAAGATGATCAAGAAAATACTTTTTAATAAATGAAACAAGTTCTTCGGATACATATTACTTCTTTGCCCGCTGAAGGATCAAATCAATGTACTCTTTTTTGTATTGTCAACCAGAAACAAAAAAGAGTACAAATTCTCCATTCTATTTTTAACGTCTATTTCCATGAGAATCGAAATCGTAAAATCTCCCTCTGGGACTAAATAGAATAATGTCGAATAAATTGGACGAACAAATGAGATGCAATCTCTTCCAGCTATTTCGCTTTGTTCTATTTACATTCTATTCCGGTTTTGACATATTTACTGCATTCTTGTAGCAAAAGTTGAATCTATCGCGTTCACACACACACTCACTTGAATGTGTTCGCGACTACGTAATTCCTATGTAAATTGTCACATGAAATAAGAGATAGTGAAGAGAAGCAACAAGAAATGAAGTGGAAGGAAGAATATATTAAAGGGAATTTTAATATTTTCAAAATTCTACAGGCAATTCTAACAATTCAACTTAATCTTACGATAATCTTATATATAAATGTTATTTCTGTTCACATATTTTATGAATGCCAAATAACATGCCAACTAGTGTGGTTTGAAGAAGTCCCGTGCATAAGACACAATGATATTCCGGCCCGGCTATATTTACAGTTAGTCTGAACGTTATTGCCATCTAGTGTTTAATTTTCGAACTAATAATCACTGGATAAAAACGAAATATTTTCAAGATATCTCTTATGATAATTGCATATACCAGATGGCAATACTATTTCTCTTCAATACCTACTGGTAATCATTGTCATTTATCTATTATGTTAATAAATAATGACGATGAACGAATGAATTTCGGTTCATTTTTAATAAAAGTCTAATAATCATCAGCGATAAATTGCATTCTACGAAATTCCCTTGAACCGTGCTTCAATCTCAGTTTTGGATTTGCCCATAGTTTCTGGCAGAGTGAAAACGACAAAGATGGTCGCGGCAACTGATATGGCGCAATAAAAGTAAATCGTACCGATTGCATCGTACTGAATGAACGTCGGGTATAATTGGACGGTGGCAAATTGATAAAATCCAGCAAAACACGTTGTGATTGGTCCCAGGATGCTGACGTAACGCGTTGGATAAAGTTCACCAATCATCGCCCAAGGAAGCGAAGCAAAACCAAATGATCCTGCCGCCTAAAAAGAATAATATTAATACTTAAATTGAAATTATTTTCTTTTTTTTTTAGATACTTACAATGAAAAAGAGTATGCATGCTAGTGGTAGACCGGATATGGCGTCGTTTCTAAAAAATTGGTTGTACACTCCCAGCACAGCTAAGGATACTGACATACCGACACCAGATATCATTGCTATCGATCTCCTGCCAATTCTACGAAAATATGAATAAACATAGAGAAGAGAATTTCTAATGAACTTTAATGAAAAGTGTTATAAGTTTTTCAATAAAATTATTTTTTATATTGTACCTTGTACTAGAAGAAACCAACGTTATGCTCGCTACCAATTGTATTAATCCTATGAAAACAGTGATGACGTAAGGATCTTGAGTGATACCAGTGTTTGAGATTAGGTCCACGGAATAAGCGATGAGCACGTAGATACCACAGAATTGTTGAAAGAAGAAGAACATGTTTAGGATAATAAATGGTTTCCAAACTTCTGGGATTTTAATAATCCTAAGTATATCACGTGACTTCTTCCAAACAATATTGACGATGCTGGTACCAGAATCTTTGATTCTAGATGGGGTTGGTATCCCTGTCTGCGATGCACCAGGATCTGGGACAAACGTCGGACCCTGTCCTATCCCTGTGCTTGTTTCCGCTTCATAATTCTTCAAACTATTACTTATCATATCAGCAAATTCTTCTTTGAACGACTCAGTCTCCTGTTTTAATCCACGAAGACGCAAGAGAGCCTTCCGAGCGTCTTCGTGACGCTTCCGTGACAGAAGCCATCGAGGACTTTCCGGAAGTGAAATGATGATGGCTGCTGTTAAAAAAAATGGTGCAATACTCGAAAGTATAGCAGTCATTCTCCAGTCGCGCTAAAAATAATTGTAGGTAATAAATACATTTTTTTTCCTTTATAAATGTCATTTGCACCCACCTGAGTGACATAACCTAAAAAATACACTATCGAAACACCCATAGCCATTGTCAGTGCTGTCAACGCCGTCAACACCGTCGTGATGTTTGGTGACGAAATTTCAGCTACATAAACGGCGCTAGGTGTCGACACCAACCCTATAGCGACTCCACCAAGGATTCTACCGAACAATAATTGCGGCACGTCGTAACTGCAAGCTATTGTTATCCAGCTGATGGTGCATACAGAAGTGCTAGAAGCGATGGCGACTCTTCTTCCAGCTTTCATGGTAATTAGACTTATCACCGATCCAAGTGGAGTAGCGATAATAGGCAACGAAGCTGTGACATAAAAAATCAATCAGAAAATATTATATGGCTTTGGACATTATTCAAAATTAACCATTATTGTTCCACTGATTATTATTATTACCAAACCACGTTGCACTGTCATCTACCACGTATACACCAGACGTCCCATTAGCCAATGAAGGCAAAGCCACAGCAGAATAACCCATAGTCATACCAGAACCAATAAGAGAAATGGCACCCAGAGTTCCATAGAGTAACTGTAACGAGAGTCTTTCATTACTGGAAAAGAAGAAACATCAATATAAAATTACCCACAAAACATAACCTGATATTCATACAGATCCCTATGACCAGTTAGTTAATAAAAAAAAATTTCTTCTTTCCAATAAAAAAATTATAAAAGTACCTGATAAACAAGTTCGCGTGATACACTCACACCAAAAAGCTTCATAATTTTTCACAAGTTTGACGAACACCACCAAATATATTATTGTACACCAAATTTTTTAATATCACAAGAAAATATTAATTATAAAAAAAAAACTAAAATTACACAAAAATATTTCAGTCTATACAATCTTTTTTTACGCGACTGCTTCCCCTTTTCTACCAACGAATACCGACTGGGTGCGTTGGGCACGTTTGCCTGTCGGTATCACAGTAACCATATGCGTATATGCATGCCTTTGATTTATGTACAGAAATATTTTATTGTTTTACAAGGTGTCTTAACGTAGAAGTGTAAAGCATTTCCACATATGCGGACACCATCTGCGCACTATATCCATCAACGTGTATCAGTATAACTATCTGGGTAGGTCTGTTTTCCCTTGCGGTTGTCACTCTTACTCTATCTCTAACCCTGGAAACTATTTTTTCTTTAAGTAAAAAGAAAGGAAAAAATCAACGACAAAGCTCAGGCTCACGTCTTAGCAAATGTTACACTGGATGACTGGGATGTATAGCATTGAGGTATTGGAGACGTCGTGACGTAATGTCACCCAGGTATATGTGTATACAAATAGTGTGCATGTACGTTGGTATAGTTTCCGACACCTTTATTGGCGCAAAATGATTGAGTTGACGAAATTAATTAACAGTTTAGTTGGATACACTTAATCAGATTCAGAGCATGGAAGTAAATAGGTGGATGGATATTTTTATTTTTTTACCATATTTTTTGGTTCAATATATTTTTAAAATAATTTTCAGTTTTTAAATGTTATATGTAATCTTACGCGTATTGCACTTGCTATTAATGGATACTTGGCTATTCGGACTAAACGTACTGCCTGAATGCAGTTTTATTATAAGAATCAAATGGGAACGCTAACTTCAAGTGATACGTTTGGACTGAATAGCCCAGTATATGTTTTCGAGTGCTAATAAGTGCATGTATGTTTTCGATAATTATGTAATACAATTATGAACACCGTTCACACGTGTGAATATAGAGGTAAATTGTGTTAAAAAAAAGGTAAACAGTGAATACAGAGGTAGATTAAAAAGCAAACTGCAAATACGGGATATGGATAATTTTATGAACATACATGTATGCTGGTACGAGGTGGATTCACTGGGTACACAAATTACAATTATAGTGAGTATGTAAGTTTTTTGAAAAAACAGTATAGAGATAAATCCACTCCCAGGCGTTTAAGTGTATACTCCTTTGTTTGTTATCTATTAGTCATTGTTATATGGAATTGCCTATGAGACAATATCAACATAACCTCCTAGAAAATACATTTTTTTATAAACTTGGAACTTCTTTTTCAGATAAAACAAGAAATTGCGCATTGGACAAAATCGACGTTAAATACTTGCACGTGCAAATTTTATAATCTCGTTATGTTAATTCATATGGTTTATCGAACGTATTTGCTTATTAAGGAGTAATTACTTTTGTACACGTAACACGGATAACCGGTTCGCAAATAAAAATAATGGTCAAGGAAACTTGTGATGAAACGTAAAATTTTTCCTTAATTAAAATTATTTATAACTAATATTTTTCTTACATTCAGATTCTAGGAACGAACAATTGTTATTGACCCGACCGTCTCTAATACTTTGTCGTTCCAGTTCATAGATTACATATATGTACAGGGTCAATCCTTTTACCCATAGTTCACTGATTAAATTGTGCAATTATAGTATAAATTAGGTTCTAGGTCATTTGACATATTTTCTCTTTCTGCTTATCATCTATTAAAATAATTTATTTTTTAATTGTTCCATGCCATTTTCAGCGTCCTTTATACTATTTCAAACAGACCCTGAGTTGAAATTCTTTATCAATCCGTAACCTACGACCTCGGTACATCAAACAATTCTTAACGAGAATTCTTTATGAAAGTAAACTCAGTGTTATATGACTGCGGAATCTCGACTTCCTTGAGATGCCACGAGTCGGCCAATAAACTTACGTAAATCAGCAGAGATAATGCAGCAGCAATGCAACCGGGTCGATTTGCGGATGATCAAATGAAATGATCAATAAAAAATTTCTATTTTCATTAATTTTATTCCTATTTATATATTTTTTTTTAACAATATATCACACAAGCACGGCGGCCTTTTTGATTCTTCCATAAAAATAATTCCTGTTATCATATCTCATCCAACGACTGATAATACTAGATAAATTGGCCAAATACTAAAATTATCAGGTAATCTTTTTATTTATTGTATATTAAAAATTTAAACATCTTTTTATTGTTCATTTAATCAGAAATGCTTTGCTTAATTCCTCCTATCATAACTCAGTTTATATATATGTGTATACTAGATATATTCTAGCTCCAAACTAAATACTGATAACTATAATTTTTTTATTATTTAAAATAAGCACGAAAATAAAATCTTCCATTTGTCTGTTTCAATGTATGCAATAAGTTATAATCACCAATAGCGTGCAATGATCCCATTTATGTGTCTGAACTGATAATCATATACGATATACCACGCACCTTGGGTAATGGGCGCAGAATCTTTCATGTCAGTCGGCAATGAACAACGGGCGACGCGTAATGTCTTTTATGTAATCGCGGTATAACAAAGTCAACTGTGCGTTTACAAGTGTCTTTTTAATTGATATTTATAATACTTTTAATATATTATCAGTTTAAAGACGTATGTAAATAGATTCGTGAATTAACTTTGAGTATTTCGTTATATTATTATCAGTTACCTTGTACTGATATATATACTGATATATATGTATCAGTTCATATATATATATATATATGAACCGGTAGTACGAAACACAATAAAAATTGGTAAAATTGGACTAATGTTACCTTCCTATGTCCTAGAGTGACACGGGTAGTCGGCTAGAGTGATACGAGAGGAACGTTCTAGGGATGATATTTTTGTATAATTAAATCATATTACGAAACATTTTATTTATATCTGGATCTAATAGCGAAAATTATACTCCTGTGTGAACGGACCAGACCAGCAAATTTAAGTTTGCTATTCACGTGTTAATCCGGCATGTCATTTTACCTCGATGTATCGTAGGTGTTCTACATCGTTGTACTGTACACCATTCAGCTTCTAGTACTGTACAGTGTTCAGCTTCGAGTGACATAAGTGCTACGTTTTTTTTTTTAAACTGATCCATGTATATTTTCATATAGACTTTGGGTGTCAGGTTAAATTGTAAAAAGAGTATGGCATGTAATTTTATTGACTGAATAATTTGAAAATCGATTATACTAGTGATCGAGCGTGATTTGTATTATATTGTGACGGGCGTTCCAACGTCACTTGTAAACCGGTTTTCCGAGCGGTGTTTCGAAACAGGTGAAAATAATCGCCATATACACAGACAGAAGAAATCCTAAGAAATTTATCATTTTCAATATGGGGACTAAGGTATACGTCATAAAATTAATAACGTTTAAATTTTTTTAATAATTAAACTGATAGAATAGAATTTCGAATGAATGATTCAAATGCTCAGTGACTGATTAGTATTAATATTTAGGCATTGTTATTTTTGTTAACAATATAATCGTTATGCACGTCATACTCATAACGCAATCATCCTCAAATGCTATAAGGAATTTTTCTGCAATACTGAATAACATAGTGAATTTATGATTGCAACGGAAATGCTTTGTCATTTGAGGTCATCACAGTGATACAGTTTTTTTTATTCAAGACGGTCCTTCGTTATTTTATTACTTATCATGAAATGCATTTTTGTTATATGCTTATCGGTATCCTGACGTCTGAATTTCAATTTGACGCAATGGAACTTTTGTGTAATTGATTACCGGTTTATTAACTTTACACTGTTAATATGACTCCCTGGAATATTACAAGTTATTATCTTCCATAGGAGGCATCGAGCAGCGAAAAACATGATAAAGAGAAGAGAACATGTCGCAATTACCAAGTACGTTAAAAACAAAATGCATATTTGAGCATCATCAAGGCAATGGATAGACTGCACTGGCTGATGTTAATTGTCATTGGATTAAGAAATGAAAAATAGAAGTAAAAGTAAGATAAAATTTATTGAATCTTGCCACATGCAGCTTCTTAATAATATTTATTCTGCTATCATTTATGAGTGAGTTAAGAGACCCGTGACTCACTATCATCATAACTAATTGTTATTGTCTCCCCTATAGGAACGTATCACTGAGACTAATTATTCTGTATATTTACTTTTACTTACATTTTGATAATAAAACAGTGTATCATGTCTTAGCATAATTAGGTATGCAAACATGCTGATGTACCGTCAGTTCCCACTGACCAATTAATCACTGACACTCATTCAGTGGAATAAAATATTGAAAGTAATAAACAAATAACAATTGTAATAATGAGGATATAATTTTTTTGATCATGGTTATCAGGTTTTTTCAACACGATACAATTAAAATGTACCAACAGTCTCTTATCGGTGCAGCATCATTAAATCTTGTACAATTATCATTTGCCAAATTTTATCGCAGATGGAAAAGCAAAGAAGTATTCTTCCATGAACATATATTTTCAGACAAGGATCTTTGTCTCATGGTTATATCTCCCTCCTACGGCAGCTTTGCATTAATGCATTGCTTGTGCAAATGATAGCGTACTGCGCACTCAGAATAATGATAACTTGCCTTCAGTATCCAATAAATAGAAGGAGAATATATTTTTTATGGTTGCAGAAGGTTACTTATGTAATGTATCTTACATTTACCACATAGTAATAATATCTTTTATATAAATAACCACTTAGTGTTATCATGCCAATTAATAGAATAGGCAGACAAAGCAACCATTGCCCTGATTGAGACTTATTTAAGTATCTGATTCAATGATATTGTTAAGCAATAAAATTAACTTACAACTTTTAGATTGTTATGTGCATCATTGCCAACTGTTCTGTTTTGGGCCCTGCAATGGGCCTTGGCTACAGTGCCGTAGCGCTGCCATCGCTGACGTCACCGCAGAGTCAAATAAAGATAAACGAAAGTCAGGCCTCCTGGATAGGTAGGCTAAAATTATTAATAAATTATTAATTGTCACATCATATTTACTTCAATTATTGTTTTTAATCACAGCCAGTATAGCTGCTATCGGGACTCCAATTGGATGCATTTTGTCAAGCTTTCTTATGAGACGCGGTCGAAAACCCAGCATACTGTCAACGTCTGTAGTGTCATTGAGCGGATGGATTATTATTTACCTATCAGCGAATTTCGAACAGCTCTTAATTGGCAGGTTGTTATCAGGTATAGCAACAGGATTGGCATCGGTGCCGGCAACTGTTTACGCGGCGGAAGTGTCAGTTCCAAAACTGCGTAGCATCGTAGTCACGTGGACCAGCATCGCCATAGCTGTGGGCATACTGATTGTCTACATATTAGGTTATATATTTCAGGTACGATTTAGTAGAGATAATAGCCAAATATACAAAGTATACAGGTAATACCCTAAAATATATTACTATTACTCTCACCTTAGGATAACTGGAGAATGATAGCTCTGGTCAGCGGTCTGTTTCCAATTCTTGCAATAATTCTTACTGTCGGAATTCTTCCGGAATCCCCAATATGGCTGCGTGATCGAGGACGCAACGACGAGGCTCTCGAAATTCTCAAGAAATTCCGTGGCATCCCAGCAGATACAACAGCGCCACAAAAGTTACTGGATGAGCTACGGATCAAAAACTCACCCAAAAAGAAGAATCTACTACGTAGCCTACTGCGCAGATCTTCTATTCAACCTTTTGCCATTATGCTCTGCTATTTCTTCTTTCAACAATTTTCTGGGATATTTGTCATTGTATTTTATGCAGTTGACATTGCGCGAAATGCTGGCATAAAGATCGACGCGTATCTGGCCGCCATACTCATTGGCTTCACTAGACTGATAGGGACTTTTCTCATTTGCTATATCTCCCGGAAGTTTGGCAGACGTCCACCGTCCATTGCCTCTGGTGCCGGTATGACGCTCGTTATGGGAATCCTGTCATTGTATTTATTTCTTAACTCTAGAAACTATGTTATTGGAGATGGCGGCTTAATACCCGTCGTATGTATACTAATGCTCATTTTTTCAAGTACTCTAGGATTTTTAGTATTACCGTTTGCTATGATTGGTGAGATTTATCCTACTAAAGTGAAAGATGTTTTATCTGGTCTGACAACTTGTATAGCTTATATATTTAGTTTTATCTCAATCAAGACTTATCCGGATATGCAGCATCTTATGGGGGAGCATGGTGTTTTTTTGTTTTATTGTATTATGTCTCTGATAGGTACAATTTTTGTTCTAATCTTTTTGCCGGAGACCAAAGGAAAAACTTTACAAGAAATTGAAGAGCTATTTATCAGAAAATCAAAAATCAGTAAGAATGACGTGATAGAGAAAGAAAAGATGATCGAACCTAAGGAAATCGTTACGATTTCTTGAAATATAAGAAAAAAAATGATGCAACAATTGAAACGATTGCTTATAAGATTTTTTAATGCCGAGGCATTAAATTTTTCAAGATACATGTATACGTAATTTTGTTTTATAAAATAATTCGTGCCTTCCTGTAATTCCTTGGAAGGGATCAATTAGTTTTTATAATGATAATGATAAAGGATCTCAATGGTACAAAATATAAAGAGAAGGACTAGATTATACGATAAAAGAATTATTGTTTGATACAATTTTATTATTAAAATCTTAAATAATAAATTAACAAAGGAGGGTAACAATCACAATAATTAAATAGCAAACACAAAATATACAATGCGCAATGACACGAACAATTGGAGAAGACATATTGGGAATAAGAGAATAGAAAAATTGCTAAGTACAAAAGGAGGGAAAAATAGACGAGGTAGGGTCAGGGGTTTGGGGGTAAGAGTAAAAACACGTATGGCAGAAATTAGCACTAATAATAAAAATGACAACGAATATCTATAATGAAACAGTAATAATTAATTAATGGATAAGCTCGTTGCGATTATAATTATAATCATCAGGCTAGCAATAAATTATATATGAATTGTGTGTATGGGGGGGAGGGGGGGTTGATTTTGTGAAAAAAGGAAAGAGAAATTGAGAAACGATATCCATGGCCAAGTAATTGTTATAAAAATTTGAAATTCATAGACTTTTCTGTAAGACACCGAGGTGTCACGCTTAACGAACCATTCGATTATTATAGAATGATAGTCCTCAATACCGAAGGAACGATTTAAATTTGACTATATCTTAAAAATCTAGTAATGTCAGTGAAGCTTTCATCTAGTTCCTGTTTCTTTTTTCTTTCCATAACATTCTACCACGTGGGAATGATGTGTCCTTCTCTCTCTTTTTCCATCTTTAACTATCTACCTATCTCATTGTTATTAATTCGCTACTTGTAAAAGTAACAAAAATTGTAAATTTCATTTCTCTTGTGTTTCATGGGTTTATACCCTTTAAACGTTAATTTTGGGTGAAACGATCTCATCGTCTCTCAAACCGAAAGTTAAATGTGACTTCTGGAAGTGCTAGGTTACCGATCGCTACCTTATAACTCTCACCATCTACCGGCAATATCGTGAAGTTCTTGAGGATAGTGGCAAGCGTCGAGAAGCTCAAGTATTGGACCATCTTGTACCCCATGCAAGATCTGCGTCCACCACCGAATGGCAGGAAGTGTTCGGGTTTCGCGAGTCGGCCATCTTGAACAAATCTCTCAGGCATGAATGCTTCCGGTTTCGTCCACAGTTGCTCCGACATATTGAGGTCGTAATTGTTCAAGAATATGAACGTGTCCTTATCGACTTTGTATCCTGAAACAAAAAATAAGGAGCGTGAAAATGAATTTAAAGGATATAAATAAATTTTTGAAATTTGAGAAATATTGATTTCTATCTATTTCTCAAAAAAACTTATAATCGTATTTACCTGCTATCGAGCTGTCTTGATTAGCCACGTGCGGTACAATCGGACTGGCAATTAATCTGATGGCTTCCAAAATAATGGCTTCCGTATAAGGCATCGATACTCTGTGCTCCAAGCCCACAGTGGTTCCCTCGATATTAACAAGATCAATTTCCTGCTGCGCGATCTTCTGAACGTTTATCCGGGTAGCGAGAAAACCAAGGACTTTTACAAGCAGATTCCCAACAGCTGAATGACCTCCGACGATATCCTCCAGAGCAAAGAGAGCCATGTCCCAGGATATCTTGGGTTCGGCATTGGTCCTGATATGATTGATCAGACAATCAACGTAGTCGTTCTCGGGAATGACCTCAGACCAGGAGTCAAACCGGTCGCGTATTATATGCTCATCGACAAACTCGCGAATCTTGTGACTCCAGTCTGCCATCCGTGACATGTTGCGTTGATGAAGTGGCATCAGAAAAGGCATGAAATCAGCAGCATAGCCCTGGTTCACCTCGTAAAAGACTTTATCGAAGTTCTTGATCATCTGCCGGAAGGGAAGGTAATCGAGATCGAAGCGACGAGAGCAAAAGTAGCTGGTGAAGATATTGGCGCAGGTGTACAGTATCAAAGGCTTAGCCTCCACGGTTCTTCCGGTTTGTGAGAGTAGATGATGCGTCAGGTGTTCCACTTCATTCCCAATGATGCTGTTAAGCTGGTTGTATTTGGCTGTGAATGCTCGTGGAAAGGTGTGCGCGCGCAGCATTTCACGCCGTGATTTCTGGACGTCCGACCAGTCACAGAAGGCCAGTGCTATGGTTAAAAAAAAATTTTCTTTAGAATTTCATTTGCTAAAATTTGAAATATTTCGTTTCACACGACCCAGAGGACCAAAGGGAAACACTTTGTCGTTCAGACGTGTTAATCGTAAAGGCGATGACATTGCTCAATTGGATGATTTTTTTTTCATAGCTACCATTTTATCTTTTATTTTTTTTTTTAACTTTCTTTTTTTTCTGATGATATACGAGAACTACATCGACGCGTGCACACATGCGGAAATGCAAGCGTGACCGAATACCAAACGACGGAAAGCCGCGTTCGCAGAAAGACGACTCATACAAGGTTTCGCGAAACGCACGTGAGCGACATATCTCTTTTGGAGAATGACACAAAATTTAGGTAAAAAAAAATTTAAATAAATGTCCGTCAGAACAAAGTAAATACAAAAAGAAAAGCATGTCACGACAACTAACTCGAAAGTACACAGATCAATCATCAGATAACGGGAACGAAAATTTTTGTGATAAAATAAAAAAAAGACAATTCTCGAAAGAAAAAGAATATATTAACAAAGAAATTATCAGTGGCAGCGAAAAATTCTGCCGTGTCCCAACTATCGGGACTCACGTGTTGCGACAAAAGCAAGGTCATTAACATACACCCAACTGTTTCACGGAGTGACCGAGGCCGGAATAATTAAAAAAAAAAAAACACTAGGTAACTCTAACCACGAAACTAGTCAAAAATGCTATCGACGTTATAAGAACAACAAAAAAACTGTTTACCAAAACAATAATAACACTTACAGTTTTCCTTGTTCCCGCAGAAGAGCTGATGGTAGCGCGCGAAATTGGGCCTGGAGTCAAAATGGGTCCCTTTAGTGATGAGCACTTCCTTGATGTTCTCCAAACCGTTCACGACTACACACGGTACGGATCCCATCTTCAGTTTAACGACCTGACTCTCGTAGATCCTGGCCAGGTCGCTGAATGCCTTGTACGGCACGTCGTACTGGCCGAAAATGTGTAGAGAGCCAAGAATCGGCCAAGGCTTTGGGCCGGGTGGTTCAGGCAGTAAAGGCGTTTTGCTGTCTTGTATTTTCCTCGTAGAGGAAATCACTTTGCGTGATCTCAGATGATCCACCAGGATGAGAATCAGTGCGACAAGGGATGCGACGATGAGGAAATAAGTAGTGGCGCTCGTCGCGAACAGTGCCATGTTAATTAAGATTTTTTTTTAACAAAATAAAAAAACCGAACCAAAGATCAACCTCTCTCGTCAGGTCCTTGTATCTTCACCAGCGCTTTCCTCCCTCTTTCTTCTCTCGGTACACGCCTCTCGTAGAGCTCTCTTTAAGTTTTCCCTAGTTTCCCTTTGTCCTCCCCTACTTCTCTTGACAGGAAATCAAGGAACAAATTGACGACGCGAGACCACCCTGTATCTTGTGCTCTTTTTCTCTCCTCTCTTGACTCTGTCAAATCTCTTTGTCCAACTTCACGGAAGAGAAAAGGAAGGATGATTTAAAAAAAAGAGAGAACGTAACTCCCTGTTCTTCCTCTTGTAAGTTAACCTCGCATGCACTGATTGGTCGAATGATGCACAGTGCCGTATATTGTTGTTCGTGTTAATGTACTATATAAATATAATGTCCCCACGATATAATAATGTTATACTGTGTTACTGTAACTCTTGTATCCTGTTTCTGTAGCTGTCAGTCAGTTAACCGTTTGCCGATCTGACTCGGTCTGGGGATAGGATCGTAAACGGCTATCTTATATAGTGGCGTAATGTAGTCAGCACATTTACGTCGCTGTTCACCCCATACATATGGATTCGAACAGGACGACCAGGCGAGTGGTGTAGCCCAGGAGACGAATTTCAAGAAAGGATTGACTGTTGGCTACCCTGGTTCAAATGAGGGGACCTGTAACGAGTGGAACCTCAAGGGACCTTTTCTTGCGCTATAAGACCGGTGTACACAGATATATCAGTATATCTATATATTCACTAAGCAAAGTACACTTTGGAAGAAGCAGTAGTACCACCTTGTCGCAGGTGCCGTAGAACCTCCCATACAGTACATCTATATGGTAGTATATCTATAAGTCAGTTTTTATTTGTTTGCCATTATCGCTTTTCGCATGATCATTGCAACGATAACATAATCAAGGATACTTTTTGTATTAAATTTTACTAAGGGCTTGGCCCACTTGAGGACTAATGTATTTCGTAGCAAGCAAGATGCGTCTGCATTGGAGATGAGAGATCAAACGTATTCACAAGATTTGCCAAATACGAGAGTCTTGATTGATTAAAGATGCTCTGATGTCTGACTCGTACGAGAAAGAAATCAAGGTTGTTCCTGTTATCATGAAAACGAGATCAGAAAAATTTTGTCGAATACTGACTAACCGAATTTTGATCTAAAGTTAAAACTGTCGATTGGCCTTCGGATGTTTCTATTCGTATCAGTGGGACACGCAAGTGAGACACGTCTAGTGAGAATTTTCGTGAATCTAGTGACTTTTTTTTTTTACCTTTATATATATGTTTTCCAGACTAACCTATATTCGTGCTTTGGAATTGTGCATTGACTGGGTTATTGTATTACACTGGAGTTGTCGACCTTTCTGGAGTTGTGAACTGAGCGCTCACCTCTGTTCGCTCTAGCCGTATATTTGGGTACTGCGCATGCGCGGTAGACCACGCGCTGGAAAAATCCGCCTGGGTTATGTGAAGGGACGAGTAAAGGTATTTTGTACAAAGTGTTTAGAGCATTTAACACTACTCGCGAATTGTCACCCACTTAAATACGACTTATGCATAATACATGTCAACTTTTTTTTTTCACTGTAGACAGTGATGGAAGTTTGCATCTCAAGGAAGTATCGAAGAATATTGGATTCATTCTGAGAATCTAGCGGTAGTCGGATTGGGTCAAGATGTAGTTACAATGCGGAATTAAGTTGTTGTTCGAGAAGGAAGAGGACAAATAAATATTAAGGAACGAGGGAGCGAGAGGGAAGCTATATATATATATAAAAAGACACAGGCTCGAACCTCTAGGTTATTGGCGCGTCCAATAAAAACTGATGAGAGTCTATTTAGGGTATGGTTCAATTCCATTAAAAGCCATGAATTTTCTCCTGATCTCTCGGGGATGTCGCGGAGATGCCGTAAGGCCTTGATCTGTGGAATTTCAAGATCGCAAGGAATACCAGAGTGGACTTACGGTCTTTTGTAGCGCCTGAAAGAAGAGAGGGGGGGCGGGGGAGAGAGTCGAAGGAGAGACATATAGGACGGAGAGAAGGCAAGATAAGGAAAAGAAAAGACTGTACGTAAAAAAAGTCACTCCCGATTGGCATAAGAGGGGCAGCAGACTTCTCGGGCAACCGGGCCCATTGGTAATCGAATGCCAGACTCGAAGGTCCCCGAACCAAAATCAAGGTTGCTTCGATTAGCAATGAATAACAACCGTACAGACCGGATGTCTGCACCTTGTGGGCTTTGTGGATGCGCATCACACCGGTTCATTACGGGGCCCAATATAAGGCCCATTAATCTGAAAGCGTTAAAAACAAAGACAGACAGATTAATCAATCAATTGAAACTAAATCAGGAATAAATACAAGAATCAGGTCGAGACCGAAACTTTCAATTAAAAAGAAAGTCAAGGTCAATTTTGATTAGCAATTGACATCGTACAAGTTACCGGATGTGACGTGGCTTAACTATATAATCACATGCACGATGCATACAGGGCTTTTTGGATTTACATTTATTTCTATCTAGATTAGTCACTATAGAATCATCTTGTATTCGGTTCTGAACTTCTTTTTTTTTCAAAATCAAAATCACAACCGGGTTACCGATTACGTAACCAGGAATTATTGAAAATGTTAATGGCATTGTCAGAGGAACGACGGACTGTGACGTTTTATCTGCATGTAGCGGTCGTACATTGGTGGTCTAACGGTCATGCGCCTTTACATAAGTACATAAGTGCATACATAACGCAGCGGGACAAACGGGAACGCATGCGGCAAAACGATACATGCATTTGCAAAATTCGCTTTGGATACATTTATGGAAGGCAGGGAAGCTGCGCCTTGTGTGGTATCAGATAGATATAGTAATATAACAATAGAAATGGGCCGCCTCTTACGCCGACGAACATGTAGATGCGATCGAAGGTAAAAGTTTTTTTTTCGACTTCTATCACCGGAAGTTACGTAGCATCGGCGGCGTCCTTCGATTTTCACGATGAACAATGGCGTTGCGAGATAATCGGAAATGGGATGCACAAATACGAGCGCAGTCACGACGTTCTTTTTTCTTGTTTTGTTTCTTTTTCTTTTTTCCTCTCTTCTTCCCTCCTACTCTTACTCCGTTTCCTTTATGGAAAATACAGCAGGTAGGCTTTTCCATGTCCGCTTGAATGGACGATCTTCGCGGACGTTGTTGGATTTTTAAAAAAATACAGCATCCGATATCTTTATCTGTTTAAAGTTAAAAAATTGTAAGTCGTTATTAAATATTTAGCTAATTCTTTGTCTTTCGTGACATTTGCGATTTATGGTTTTCTTTTTTAATTACTTCTTCTTACTATTTTCTACTAAATGGAAAATTCCAGTGCAACTTACGTGTTACTCTTGCATAACAGGTGTCAGAGAAAATGACCGCAATGCACTGTATGGGCAATGCATCCGAAGTAATCTCAATTCGCGGTGCAGGTACGGATCGATGGATGATAAATGTGTGAAAAGGATCGAGCTGAAATTTTGAAAAAATTTGTATGTACCATGCGTCTTTAATAAAACAAAAGCATTAAAGTATTTCAGGTCGAGCAAAACTGCAAAGTGGAATTGCTCAGTGCAATTCCAGGTGGGATAAGTTGCTTAAGGAAAAAAAGACTTCTGTACTGGCAAACAAAGTGATTGTGGATCAGCATGCGAACCTGTGAATTATGATTGAAGAGATGCAAAGGTATTTGGCTCTAGACAACTTGCGTAACGAAGGTTTGAAGTCGGAATTGTCAATGAGTTCAAGAAAAAGTGACAACTGTTAAAACGTAGTCCATGCATTTCGTACGTCAGTTCATCATGCGCCTTATTAAACGCCACTATGGCAATTCCGCACCATTTCACTTTACCACGTTTGAGTAATTGCGGCAATTCCATTCCTGCAATTTCGTAAAGTCAAAAACGACAATTGAGTGCTCATCCGCGAAAAGTGTTCTCAGTAACAAAAAATGTTGAACATAGCAATTCCATGCAATTCCACACAATTACAAGCGCTCTCTATAAACAGTCAACATTTGACATTTGCACGGAATCAACTATCCCAAAAATTATACAAATCTCAATTAACTTGTCGTTGAATAACTGAACGAAAGCGCAACTTCTGTCTGGAATTGCGTAATGCGTATTGAGTATATAGTAAGTTTACTTTTATAATGCGTATAGCAGTACGTGCGACCTGTCTCGTACTAATATCAAGAACAGAGGCTATGACTATCTATTACGCTATACAGTCAGCATTGCAATTTCATCTGACGATAGAGATATGCAATTGCATCACGTCTCTCCAGCTACTAACCATACTCGAATGTTCTAGCATTACAAAGCAGTACTTCCGCATCGTGGACAAATCCAAGAAGTTTCTAGATGGTCGACGTCTGACCCTATCATTCGCTGACCTCATTCATTCCTGGTAAAAATAGTATGCCTGTACGTTGGCGAACAACTTGAAGACACAGGAAAGGCAGTACAACGGTAGATAAACAAAGTCAAAGAGAATTCTTGAAAAAGAATTAAGCAGATTTCTGGAGCGTTATCGAAAGATCCCAAAAATTGATGCTGGCAATGGACATAAAGAGATTCAAAAAAAAAGTAAACAAGATTCCAAGATATAAATAAAGCGTCAAATGATCCTAGCCCGAAGATCAGTACATTGCGAAAAGTGAAAGAGTATGAGAAGTTCAAGGAGAACCAATGAAACAGGTTCGGTACCGTTATGTGGTGAACGCAATGAATTCCCCACGAAACCTACGACGAGCCATTGACATTGCACATAACGAACCTGATGGAAACCGGTCAGGGGCCATGACCAGGACTCCATCAGAGTCTGTGGTCTTCCACAGCGTTTAACATAAACTTAAAAGCGACTGTGTCCTACCGATGCGACTATTTTCTTTGTTATCGAATTTTCGTCTCGCCAAACGTTTAAAGTGATACAAATATATTCCTAGCTTCTTCACACTGATCGTCGTTTCGTATCATCCAGTTTCTGTCGCTCGCGAGACCCTGACGATTTCGATGCAGCGACGCTTATTTGGTAGTCTAATTTGGACCCGGGTGCATCTACCTAAATCACCGGTCTGGGCCTAAATCTCCTAACCTTCACTCTCGTATCATCTTACCCTAGCTCGAGATCCCATAATACATTGGTTACACTATTACATTTTAAACCTACATATGTATATAATACAAGACCCAAAATTCTATGCAACAATGTTGCTACAAGTTTCCCAAGAACCACTTTGGGGTCAGAATAGAGGCTCACTTAATGGTCTAATTTTACAAGTGCGTACCTATATAAGTATACATAAATAATATATTGGACCACTTTTCTTTTATCCGATGTATATCTATATATCCAATTTCTTTTGTTAACTCGCATACTTTTTTGCCGTCTAAAAAAATTCAATGCGGCCGTCTCCCAACGCTCGATCGTTATCTCCCTGTGAGCCCGGACTCTCGCAATTTCTTCCTCCTTCGTACCTTCTATCCTATGTATCCGTTTTGATCAATGATAATTATGCGTGGCAATGCCGTCCTGCGCGTGGACGGCGCTCGAACCGTAGCGCAGAGTCGTGTGGCATCGCGACAAGTGCGCATCAAAATGCACATATTTCGAGCGAGACGATGCGCGGGAGTTTAGGTAAATTTGAATTGCATGCAGCCGAGACGCCCACTGGATTGGATGCAGAACAGATGCAAGTAGATTTCGGGGGATACGTCGAATTCGAATTTCAACCAAAGGATCTGACCCTGCTTAATATAAGACGTCATTGAACTAGCAGTAGCCTCGTTGTGGGCGTCGCAGGTCGCTAAAAGAAAATTAAAAAAATAAATTAAACCGTGAAAAAATAATCAGACGACAATACCATCCTGTGCGATCGTGCAGTCGTATTTTATACGAATTAAATTTTGAATTTTTATTTTTTTTTTAATCTTAAGGATGCGTACGTGCACGCTCTGTCGTTCGCCACTATTACTTTTCTCTTTTACATGAGTTTAAGTACCTACGTGGCACCAATCCATAGGATGGGTTTACTTGGCGCATGATCCCACGTATGCTACATCACAATGTTACTGCCCTGACCGCCTTTTCACTTCTAGAAGCATCAAGTGCGTCTCGATGTAATCGCCTGACGTCACAGTGGAGAAAGAGCCGATGATTTCGTGAGATGTTTTCTCATTGCGTAAGCGGAATCGAAGAGAAATCATTCCGTCCCCCGGTAAAACATCACGTGGTTTTCATGGAATACCTGAAACAACATTCCTGCATTACAAAGAGAAACGATCAATTTTATTGATCTCACTGTCTACCATTACCTGGTCCCGGCTTCTTTTTCTCCCTCACTCGGTACATCAGTGTATGGTTCTCTCGAGCACCTAGTCCAGGTTCATTACCCAACGGGATGAAGATTGAGGAAAAAATCTTGTGCCTGTAAACAAGTAAAATTCTATCAGTCTTACCAATGGATCTTTCTTTTCAATTTCAAGAATATGAACCCAGTACGCAATACCCATTGGCCACGTAGTCACGTATATGTATACATAAGAGCAAGTGCGATGAACCGGAGATCAGGTCCACGTTACACGTATCGAAAGAGCCTTGACCGAACAGACCACTGCCAGAGAGAAGGTGGTAGAAGTGGTAAAAGTAACGTGCACGCACGGTCAAGAAGGCAATGGCAATCCTCATGATTTTAGCGTCAAGCCAAATGTGATCTATCCAGGTGTTAAAAACAATTTCACTGGTTATCGAGATCATAGGGCTAGAATCGATGGCGCCGAACGTCGCAACGTCAACGAAGCACATCGCAATAAAATAATTTAAAAATTTGGGCCGTGCGTCCATCGAACCTGGAACGATTCTAAGTTGTTGTTAGGAAGAGCGATTGGGTAAATAGGGAAGAAAGAAAAGAAAAAGACGATGTGAGATGAGATAAGTAAGAAAGGAACGTCCAATCAAAAATTGACTCTTACCCGTAAACAAAAACAGCCTCCTGTTGCTTCTACGGTGTCGAAACGTCAGACGCGTCAGTGCGCTCTCCTTTTTTGAATAACAGAATCTGCGAAAGGTATGATAATTTATATTTTGTAATTTACACTGTTTTTTACTCCCGACTACCAGCACGTGTTCAGGAGAGTCAACAGAGAATAGGGAGAGTTCGTATGCATCCAGGCCAGTCATCTTTTCACTGCCATAGGGGCTAACCAAATTTGAAATTTTCATTTTGACAATTCTTGCACACGACAAACATCCCTCACGACGCAGTTAACAGTTCACAGGAAGAATCTGAACGATCAACTTCAGTTATATATATGTAATATTTTATTGTTTACGTATATATACTCTAATGTATGTATATATGTATAGACAGACGGTAACATCAGCCCCACAGGGACTGTTATACATATATTCTTAACCATAAGGAGCTGGCACCTCAATGACGAGTTTATCTCATGGCATAACTATAGATATATTTACAACAACAACAACAAGTATCAGAGTAGCTGTTGTATTCTACGTAGTAGTATTCTCATATGGATAACATGTATGTGCATCACGTTCACCTCCAGACGGGCCCCGTACCCATTATATTACTGTTACGTCAAAAGACGTCAGAGCTGCTCTACTCCGATTCCGACAACGTGTTTACGCGAAGCCACAGTCAAGGGAAATAATAAATCAGTACAACGAAAAGTACGAAAAGTCATCATCACCTTGCACTAACGGGTGAGCCAACCTGGTTGACGATGACTGATCCAGAAGTGGGAGTAGCAAAAGGATAAATGAAATGTAGAAAGACGGAGAGATAAAAATAAAGCTAGACCAGCTTGATTTTCTAAATAATAATTGATTTCGTACCGATTGTTTAACGAGGGCGTCGCGACGCTTTCCTTATTCGCTATCGATGCCTCGTGGATGATTTCGTGGACACCCGTTCGATCCTGCCAGTCTTCCGGATCTCTATAGTCTCTTTCCATGACGTGGATTCAGCGACTGGTGGATCTTGGCGTATCTCCATGTGGGCTGATCTGTTAGCATAATATGAAAACACGTCGTCCGAATATTATGCAGTCGGACGAATGCTGGCGCCGCGCATGAATGGGACAGCTCGGTGTGGAAAAACTGGACAATTTTCAGTCGGTACGTCTGAAAACAAGAGCAAGTATTATCGACATGGTAGGTACGGTGTACACGGCCCGGGTTAATAATGCCGAGGTCATCCACTAGGATGTGGAACGTGTCACTGGGTGTCTTAATCGAAACCAAAGAAACCCTCTCAATGAGTTTTCACACGTTATTGGTGTGCACTGAGTTTTTTATAACGTGGTGAATCTGATTAATGAAAATTAATGGATACGAATTTACCACTAGGATGACCAATTTAGAGCCAACGAATAAATTTCGAATACATACCTGCCTAGCGATAACAGTCCAACCGGATATCTTGACCAATCCTTTAGGAATTCAGACTTCCTGCTGGTCGGCTTATACACGCTGAGGATTCCTACGATAGCACAAACGTCCGTAGCCACTTTTTTCAATAGACCCAGATACGATCGGACTACATCTTCAGTTCCGGAGATGATACCTCAAGATGGACCATGTGTCCCATTCAAAGTGGCCAAGCTCACTGATTAACATCGATCTCCATTTTCATTGAGAAGGCAGTATTTTATAGAGTTTTTAAACGGGACATGAGTATACCTATATATAATTGTGTCAAACGTGTGCTTCCAGGACGTGCGGCACTCATACGGCAAGCCGATGTGTTTTTTTTTAACTACTACCTTGGGACATCACAGCATTGAAGTTCTAACCTAACCTAACCGAACGAAACATTTCTAAGGCCATCGCAACTCGGAATGTCTAGCGTAAACATTTTTTTGGAAAATTCGGTGTGATTGCTGCTGTATGGTCCTGGAAGTCATTAAATGTACTGATAGTCGCTAATACGTATCAGAAAAAGTCCTGGAACTCACCGATCAACAAATTTATATGTATGTATCATTCAGTAGCACCTCAACAATTGTGAACAATGATAATCAGCACTTAATAATGACAATCTTTAGGTGTCCTATGTAAGGTGACCCGATTATTCGAATCGAGTAACCAAACGAAAGAAAAGGGAAGAGATAGAGGGATAAGGGGGAGGATGAGGGGAGGAGAGAGAGAGAGAGAAAGAACAACAAATAAAAAAAAGAAGAAAAAAGGAGTCATCCAAAAAACCCCGATCCGATCCCAATCTATGCTGATGTGGTATTGGAACATAAGCTGGGGTCAATCCATGCATAATGAAATTTCGACTTGCATGTATATTGTTTGATTCCTCTGTGTCTGTGTGTTGCGCGCATCAAGCACTGTGGAACGTTAGGCCAGGTATGCGCGGCCTGAAATGATTTGCTCTTATACGTTTATCATACCTTATCTCTGTGTAAGTGCTCCAGCTTCGCCCCCGAAGAAAGGAGGACACATGCACACGCACTTTTTTTTCTACTAAATTCGGGGCCTCCGAGACTTTTCTACCCGATTCGAATCCGAGATGATTGGTGATTCTTCTCCCCCTCTGGACCCACTAGCCAATGATCAGAACGATTCGACTCGCCCACGTGGCCTCTCAAAACGGCCGAGATCAACGAAAAATAACACGTGAATTTAAAATCACGGAACGATTAACAATTACAGTGTTTATTTTTGAGATATGTAAGACATGTAACTAATGGAACTGAGGGAATATATTTGACAGCTGTCAAGAGGTGCTTCTTATTAATATTGTCAAATTACATGTACGGAATAAAACATGTGACTATTTCGAATAATTGTTATTGACACTTTACTAGGGAAGATTTAGAATTTCGAAGTTTTTCTATACCTTATATGAGTGCGAAAGAGACAGTGATATGTGTATTTAAAGGTGTAAGACAAGGACACACATAATGACAGCTGAATTGAGGCTGGATAATACTTTCCCGTATTCCATATAATTTTATTTGCTCAGCTACAACTTTTAATAGTCACACTTTTTTCATTCTTTTTTACGATTGGGATGCACGGTCGTATATTTCTCTAATAATTTTGTGTAAAAAATCCAAACAATTTTTTTCAATTGGACTCTCAAAGTGACTTTGTACACGTACTTTAGGTATTTTATAGATAATTTTCTGAATCTTTCACCCAGATCATTTTATGTTAATAAATACAAAAGATTGACATTATTTTCGCCTGCACTCAATGAGTCTGACAAAACCTAGTTCACTTCGAATTAAAAAAAAAAATATGTTACAAAACGTTAATAGATCGATTCAATCACAGCTGTCAAATCTGACTGACTACTATCAGCTAAGTCACCGTGCCTACTGCATCTCGAATATTTGTATTGAAAAGTGAAAGCGTCATGGCAACGTGAGCAATTGCACGAAATGCCCAAGTTGCTGTACGTTTGGCTAGAGCTATCGAAAGAGAATGAGGCACGTGCGTAATTGATGCACGGAGAAAGTAATTCTATTAGAACAATAGAACAGTTGCTGGATAATATTTGAAGGATCACTGGCAAAATGTATCACTGACTCGTGTCAATGTGTGTGATAATGCATTAGAAAATAAAACTGAGTGAACGTAACATGAATTGTTTTTTTACGTTCCACGTGTTCTTCCTGCTCGGTCATATTGAATCTGGCCTTTTTTCTTATTCGATTACTCGCAGCAATATTAAGCGTTAGTAATGCGCATGTGCGCGGACATGTGCACAGACGTGGCCCCAGACAATATACGAATCCGATTTGCAAACGCCTCGAGTTTAGTAGGTGACTCCATTATTGCAATTGGTTTCCACGCGTGGTGTGATCCGTTTAAGAGAGCCTCGACATTCACGTGCATAACGTGTGCATTGCAGTTTTTATTGCATACGGACTGTACCGCACTGTAAAATGCCATGCGATGCCAACCAATGCCGAGTTGACGTATGCATTCACCTTTTTATTCAAGGAAAGCGAAATTAATTATTTACAGATGCTTACAAGGCTTCATTTCGATTAGATTGATAATATTTATATTTTAAGGTTATTCAGATTTATCGTTCTATTTTATTTAGATTATTATTCTATCAATAATCTGTATGCATCTAATAAAGATATATACCATTTGACAGGGCGGAACACGTGTTTCCGATCTACACGTGGTCACGTTATTTACTCCAAGCCGTTTGCATTATGACATACACTTCTGTAGATTGCCCTTGGTCTCCCGTAGTTGTAGATCGTTTTTATTCGGCTGAATTCGGATTCGGCATTTTTAATTCGCCCAAGAGTCCACGTAACAAATTGTAAATGATCCTGTAGACAAAATAGATACGTTAGAAAATGTAAAATTTACTGTAATATCATAAGTGTAGCATTGCAGCGAAATATGTAAGGTACAAGCGGAAAGTAAGTATAAGAATGAGAGAAGAGGTTGAAAAAAGAGGAAGTCTGTCAGACCGTGGATATTACCTGTGAATGATGACGCAGTGTGTATCAAGAACGTTAATAAACGTATTTCAGGTTTGCGGCATTAAGTGTGTCCTGACAAATGGCGACAGCCTTCGTTTTCATGGTCAAGGGAAAAATATTGCTAGAGATCATTTAGCCAGGACGGAGCATTACGGATTCAATTCTATTCAAGATCCATGACAGAAAATGGTATAATGTAGTATCATAGGAGGCCACGAGCAGACTCACGAACGTCTGAGAAAAAACAGTTACACGGCCCTGATGTAGTTCCTACACCGGTTTTCAATCGAAGCTCGATATACGTTGTCACGCAATTGCATAAATAAAAAAAATATAACCTTTTCTCTTTCACGGTCTCTGTCGAGCCTTCTACCTTACGTCGTTCTATATAGGTTAGGGTTCTGCAGCTCTGCGAGATCGTATGAATTTTCCGGCGCACTAGCGCACCACCGCGTTCGTTTACGGAACTATTTTAGTAGGAGAACGACCGTCGCCCCCTAGCCAGGAACCTCTGGAACTAAGGGCCAATCATGATTGTATGATTTTTAAATTATGTCACAACGTGGCGTAACGAGATCATACGTTACGAGGGGCGAAAGCGCCTGCATTTGTATATGCAAAAACCCCGATGCCTGATCTCGGTTACCATTTGAGGTCGAAAAATTGTCGCTCATGCGATGTATAATAGATCTAAGGATCTAGGTGTCGATTTTATAAAATATAAGCCAACCGATGTTAGCGTTCCTGAGAGATATATTTATGGGAGATGGGTATATTTATCAAGATAAAAATTGGGAAGGAAAAGTAAATATCAAGGCCATGAAGAAATGAATACTGTTATGCCTCTCTATTATAATATAGCCATTAAGGAACCGTTACCCTGCAAATTCCCTACCTTTCCTATCATAAAACTGTCCTTAATCCCATAAATATACAAACCTTTGTTCCCTGCATTTTTAAAATAGGAATTTCCCAATTACACAAAAAACTCTCCCTTCCTATTCCTCGTTCCCGTTAGACTAAGTTTACCTTGTTAGAAAACATAGCATTTAAGGATAGCATCTAGTCGAGCATTGGTAAGGGAAGGTCCTCTAAAGAATAAAGTAAAAGATTGTCTGTTCTACACTGGTTCTTTAATTAACAAAATCCGTTCGTAAAGTCATAATGGCGGAATCTTGTATGTCGTATTGAATCTATGACGATATAGTTCGCCACGGCATAACACTATGATTGCCGAACGGAGCGACGATACGTTGGACAATTTTATGAGGTTGCTCTGAGCAGTCAAGTTTTCTTACTAACGTTGATCTGCGTCAATTGTCAGGAATAAGGAACACGAGAATAAAGATACAAATGGAGAAACACGTGGCGCCATCGAATTTTCATTCGCGTGGCTATTCTCGCAAACCCGACAAATTCAACGTAAAAGAAATTACCAATGTAAAAGGTGCTACAGATACGAAGATACCGATCAATCGGCCTAAGAATAGCGGTACTTTCTTTTTGCCTGTATGACGTTGGTCGGCGCACGGGAGGCCCCCTGTTTCATGCTCGTTGCGACATACATCTTGTTTTGGCTGGGAACGCGTCTAGTGACGTAATTTGCATGAGGCTGGCCAATAGAAACAAATAGTATCTATGGTCTAGGTGCACGGAGAAAGGATACATTTGAATCGTAGACATTTTTCAAACGACGCACTAAATTTTTTTTTTCTTTTTGGTTTTCCAAACCAAGTATATGTACACTTACACAGTGGACGAGGAAATTCGAAAAATCAACTGCAATAAAAAATGCATTATTGTTATTTCGCCTGTACTAGATCTATTCCAAAGATTTTCACGATGCATTATGAGGCAAAAAAAATGGCGACTGTTTTGTCTTTGACTTGAAGGAAAAAGTAGAGCAATATAGGGAAGCAGAAATATTTGTGGATGCGGCGATATCCTCGTGAGAGAATATATTGTATTTGTAAACCACGGGCTTGATATGTCAAACCGATACGCATGTATATCGGAGCTGATCTCTTTACGGGTGAGTGCGTGAAACGTCGTATTAAAAGGAAAAAAAAAGAAAAAAAAATTCGTGACAAGACGGATACGCGCGACAATTGCAATAGGGATGGAAGAGACTCTGTGTGCCTAATAAAAAAAATTGACGTAGTTAATAATTTTGTTCTGATGGTAATTTTCAAAATTAACATAAGTGCAAAAATGTATAATAAAAAAATTCAAAAGTAAAATACTAAAAATTGTTGTTCACAACTGAAAAGAAAATCGTGTCGGATCGTTAACCTCTGACCGAGAGCTTTACGAAATCGAAATTCCAAGAGCGATGGAGACCATTCCAGAAACGAAAGTCCATTCCGGGTATACGAGTGTCGCGACGCCCAGCATCGTGCTATGTTAATCTTTTTCAGTGGAATCGAAACGGGGCGACCTGGTTTCCGTGCTGATCCAGAATTATCGTAAGAGTATTAAATATTCCTGAGTAATTCGAAAATAATTCAGGGCGGTATTCCAAATCCGCGCGTGTCTCGTAGTAATGTACCGCGCATGCGCAGGCGCCCCTTTGTAGCGACGCCAAGCGGAAAATTTCGTAACCAGTCAAAGACGATTAAATAAAAATTCATCATCAACGACACCAGCGATCAATTTTCAAATTGATTTTGTCCCCACAGCCAGATACTGGACGAGCGGTCTATTCAACATAAAATGTAATGACGGACCAATATACATTGCACCATGCAGTAGCCGAGCGAGTGGTAAACAATAAGAATGAATGTCTAATAGAATGCGCGATTCAATTCAATAAAATGCAGGCTCTTTCTTTCTAAGGGCGAGGTCATAGCTACTCCGTGACACACACCAGTCCCTCGCACGCTGTGAACATGTGGGGAACTGTCAATCGGAGAATACGTCTCGGATGTATGTAGCGTCTAACGCATTGGGCCGATACCAGCGATGCCAATGGTTGTGCCACGCCGGCGCAGGAAGTTAAAATGCTATTTAAATGTATGGAAAACTCGATGCTACAATTTATAGTTAGCTATCGTCCTGGAATCAGTGAAAATATAAACAATAAATGAATCGAAAGTCTCAGGGACGGTATTGATTTTCGATATCAATTATTTATAAATTTTCTCGTGTCTTAACGATATTCACAAACAAGTGCGGATGCGCTCTGCCCTGCGCGCATGCGCATAACCAAACCGACTCGTCGAAGATGCGCGGCAGCGCCATCAGGAAAATCTTTTAAGTAAATTCAAACGATATTTCTTTTATCGCTCAATAGAAACAATCTGGATACTTGATACCATCACGTATATTAAAACGATACAATTTAACTCGTATACATAATTATTTGTCCAGTATATATTTATAAGTTCAAATACACTCTCCTATCACTTTCCCTTATTCTAAGGATACGTTCAGAATTTCATCGAACACGTTTCCCTCTCACTCCATTGCATGCCGGTAAACGAGAACACGATACTCGTACTACTGGCAATCAATTTCGGAATGCATCCTAAGTAGATATACGACTAACCGGTCAGACATATACTACTGCATCGCTAGAGTGAATTTGGCGTATTTTACACGAGGATTCGACCGGCGCTGACATCTGCCGATTATCGATTCAAAGTATATTCAAATGTAATTCCGCCCTCCCGGGTGTCATGCCGACGACGGCACGCGCTGCTCCTACGGCTGTTACGATCCTGAATTCACGAAGAGGCCACCCACAGCAAATTTGCTTTTCAAAGCATCCTCACATCCCGTAGACAGCTATTTGGGAAGATGGCGTGCGCGCCCGTCATCAATTACATAATGTATTCAGATCAAGATCCCCGCCGAGGAGGCCACAGTGAAGCACATTCACGTGTGCGCACCTATTACCAATCCAAGGTGTGGGATCGTTTGGAATTGAGAACCCTCCTTTTCTTTTTTTTTTTTATATCTTTTTTTACGTTAAGTCATCACTAACTTAAATAATCTAGACCAGGTGCTGAACTTGTCTGACTATATATCGGGTTTAACTACTATTCCATACTCATGTTCACATACGTCTAACTATAGATTTCACTGCTATAGTGTAGCTACTTTCACGTGTACGCACACTATGTATGCCACGGGCCCGAGGTCATGGTCACGGATCGTCTCGCGAAATACGAATCTCCCTATCATCACCGATTCTGGACCCGCCCCCCCCCTTTTTTATCTCTTATTTGATAACTGGTACGAGCGATTTTCCTTGATCTCACCAAGAGATACGTGTAACGCTACGTGTGTGTACATATACATCTATATATATATATATATATCGAACTAATTCGAACACCGTTTCTGACCTTTTTCTCGTTCCTTTCCGTTGTCATCTCATTTCCTTTTCATATTATAACCAGATCAGGCGCACCGAGGACGAGGACGAGGACTGCCCCGATTACAGTCATTTTATTCAGATTGAGGTGCAAATTTTGTTAAACTAAAATCGAGAACGTATTCCCTGTATAAATGTGAATACCAATAAATTATATCAAGGCATAACTTAATCCATGTGTTTTTTCAATAATTTATGTATAATGATTGATTAAATAATATCGTAATTAATATTATTATTGTATACTGTGATATATCTAAGAATGATATATATGTATACAGGATAGACAATTTTGTCCACCTGGAATATTTCTGTTAATTGTAATAATTTCAAAAAATATTTCACACAAAACTTGTACGGTATGTAGGACATAATGTGATGTTATTTTTTTTTGCGAGGGTGGGGGTAAAGGAGTTTTCAAGGTCACTTTCACTTTTTTTAAATGGGATGCTACATTTTTTTCGTCTCTATGCGATGACCAGTGTTGAGGCAAACTCAGCAAGCTATTTGACTACTATACCAGAAAATATATAATACAAAGATTGCAGCTTTGCATTTACGCAAATGGTGAACACTTTGAACATCCGATATAATGTAAGTTTACTTTGTCACCAAATTTGAATTTAAATGACATTGACAGTAGCTTACCGAAATCGTCTCAAAACTGGTTATCGCATAGCGACGAAAAAAAAAATGTAGCATCCCATTTAAAAAAGTGAAAATGACCTTGAAAGCTCCTTTATGCCCCCACCCTCGCAAAATATAATAACATCATATTACCATCTATACCGTAAAAGTTTTGTATAAAATATTTTTTGAAATTATTACAAATAACAGAAATATTCCAGGTGGACAAAGTTATTGGTCCACCCTGTATATAACGTTTAGTTCAGACTTTACGGAGGGTACTGCGAGTCGACGATAGTGAGGTTATAGTGTAAGATGAAAGAATGACTTTCGTATACGCATGCGCGTACTCAAAGATGCGCGTCGTTCTTGAGCGATACTCTTGAATTATGTTGATAACATTCATTCAGTAAAGCTGCATGACGAATGGAAACTCAGCCTCGTGGAAATCGTGCGGAATAAGTAAAATGGTGGATTGACAGCAAGCCAATGCTATGACTGGCAGTAGTGGTAGACGGTCGTCTGGAAAAAAAAAAGAAAAAGTAATGAGAGAAGATTTTCAATCTGATCGATCAAACGGTCTGACCGACGTCCGTTGCTATGACGAGTAGTCTAGGCGACGTCGTGACGTAATTTCCTATACCCACCTGAGTCGCTTATGCAAGTTTACGATAGGCAACTGTTATTTTTGAAATATCAACGCCGTTCTGGCATTCGTAACTGATTTTCTTCTGGTGTCAGCTGACATTTATTTATTATGGACCAATTGGATCATCTTCAGGAAGCATCCGATGGAGAGGCTGATGGACGTCGGGATTCATCTGAAGGGAATAACGGTACGACTGTTATTTGGATGAATAATAAAAATTACTTTTTCTCTTTAATTTTTTATGGTTATAGAAATATTTACCGAAGATCCGGATACTGTGATGGATTCGATGACTCAGGAATGTTTAAATTCAGCATCCCTGGTGGAGCACGGGTATTCATCTACGCTGAATCTTCCAAGCCGGATCGATAATACGCTGGATCTATCTTCTGAAATTGATCGAGAGAGGATGATTATTGATCGTGATAAGGAGAATTTTGATAATCCCTACGTGACGTTTGGGGAAACTGAAAAACTCTTGCAAGATCAGGAGGGGTTAATGAGTGATCATGATTATGATTCTGGGACTGTATTTACTCAGACCGATCAGATCATCTATGATCAAGAAGATGCTGAATCTGATCTCCAGGAGTTGCCATCTGTACAGGAGATGGAGATGCCTTTGAGTAGGGAGGAGATAACCAGTTCTATTCGTGATACGGAACGAAAATTGAGAAAACGGAAAGACGAGATTGAAAAACAGGAATTAGGAAGTATCGATCATAGTGATCGAGATCCTGGTCATGATCGTAAACAACCTGATGATCTATCGATGCAAGAGGAAGCGGTATCGTGTCAAGATCACCTTCCTGATAAAACAGAGTTCTTGGATCATCCAATGGATCATAACAATGATACATCGATCGATGGATCGGATCGCGAGAAAGATCGGACGATCATTCAAATCGAAAATCGGATCAATGAAGATTCTGAGATTGATACATTGTTTGAAGATCTTAAACGGAATGAGGAACGTGTTTATATAAAAGGAAAGATTTATGAATTTGATGAAAAAAAACATGGAGTTAGGTAAGATGTCAATTTATCCTTTTTTTTTTCAAATTATATACATTTTTTCATTTTCAAAGAATGACCGAGAAACTTATTAAAAAACAATGCAAGGACAACAAGTTGTATCAGACGCCGTATTTGAATGACGTTTTGTATTTGCATTATAAAGGTATGTTCGACTTTTTTTAATTTCAATGTATATGCAAAATTTTATATTTTGTATTGTAGGTTTCTCTTTTATTGAAAATTTGGAAAAATACACGGGCTTGAAGACCTTGTGGCTGGAAAGTAATGGGATTCGAGAAATTTCCAATTTGGAAAATCAAACGGAACTCAAATGTCTGTATCTGCATCACAATTTGATTGGTAAAATTGAAAATTTGGAATGTCTAGTCAAATTGGATACTTTGAATCTCTCGCACAACTCTATACGAAAAATCGAAAATCTTGGTAAAATTTTATCTTTACTGAAACTATCTATATTGGCTGTTTTGACATAATTAATCAAAAATTGTCAATTGTCTTTTAGACAGTCTCAAGTACCTAAACAGTCTTTATCTTTCTCATAACTATCTGCGAGATACGGAAGATCTGGAGCATCTTCGAAATTTGGATAATTTATCGATTTTGGATTTGTCGCACAATAGAATCGAAACGATCGATTTGATAGACGTGAGTATTTTTGAGTTTCTGGATGCTTCGCTTTAATGTTTATTCAATTTTTCATATACTGAAAATAGATTTTGGGCGAAATGAAGTCGTTGCGAGTTCTTACACTCACCGGAAATCCTGTGATTAAATCGACAAAGATGTACCGGAAGTCACTTACACTCAAATGCAAAAATCTTCAGTATTTAGACGAGCGTCCGGTATTTCCACGAGATCGTGCATGTGCAGAAGCTTGGTATACCAGTAAAAATTTGAAAAAAAAAATGTTTTAAAAAATTCGAAATTAAAACAAAATAAATTCTAGGATGAGAGGAGGAATCGAGGAAGAAGCAGCCGAGAGACAAAGATGGATAATGGCTGAACAGAAAAAAATAAACGACAGCGTGGCTGGTGAGTTCTTTCAAAATGGGATATAGACCTTTTCAAAATAATTTGTTCATTTTAAAGCTCTTATCAATAAACGCAAGCGCTTTCAAGCTGTGGCTAATCTTGAACAAATCCAAAAGGATCAAAAAGAAAATGAAGAAGCTGTGAAAAAATGTACAGATAGAAATTTGGATTTGGTAAGAAAAACTATTATAATTTTGACAAAAAAAAAACATAAGGTCATGCAATATTTTTATTTCCAAAGTTGAAGCTCGATAGTAAAAAATCATCAATATCAAAATCATCTGACGATGAGGACGATGACGAAGAAGAGGACGCGAAAGATGAAAAAAATGAACTCGAAAATCCTCTGATAGATTTTCAAAATTATCCCTCAACTAATCCCGATGGGAATATACAAGAACTTTTGTTACCCTGGAAAGCTGAAGTTACTGAGAAAAATGGATCTTCGCGACTTATTGAAGAAATTTCAGAAGTAACAGAATATATAGCGGGTGACGCAGAAAGAAAGAGACTAGGAAAACGAATTTTGGAAAATCGAGATAGTCTCGACGATCCTCCCGGTGGATATATACGTGGCAGAGAATTGGCATCTTATAACAAAGTCATTAATGAGATTAATAAGAACAGTGAGAAAATAATTACTCCAAGAAAATGGAAGGGAACTGCTGACTCTGATGCAAATCCAATAAATTCCGTTCAGATGACTTTTTCTGGCGACACAAGTGATTTGAATGACCCTGTAGAAAGTGCTGAGTGCACTGTAACGGAAATCCTAAAAAATTCTGCAGATGAAATTAACAAAGATGCCGATCAAACTGGTGATAAAAAGATGAATCTAAAAATAGAGAAGAATTCAAAAATAAATAAAAACGCAATATCTAGTCAAATAAGTAGTATCCGGTCAGACATGAAAGAATTTTGTCTTTCCATGGATAAATTTACAGAAGAAAATTCGATAATATACGAGAATGGTGAAGTGCGCGAATTTTGGAATTCCACAAAAATGGACGAATGTATCCCGCTTGCTGAAATCAAGCCACAAGTTAAAGATAAAGAATGCACCTCGATAAATAATAACGAAAACTTATCATCAAGTCCTGATATCGAGGGTTTGATAAGAAATATGAATTCCCTAACTTTAGATATGTCGATTGATTCGCCAGAATCCTCAATAAAGATAACGGAGAATGACGAGGAATTTCAAATTTTCAAAAAAGAACCGACACTCACGAATGAGCCAGTACAAGAAATAAAAGAAAGGAAAGAACTTTCAAACAATTCTACTGATATTTTGGAAAACTGCAAGAAGCACTTAAAGAAAGAGGCCAATAAATTTACAATGAGAAAGTCACCCCTAATTGAAGATTACGTCAGCACTCTCATAAAAGCAACTGAGGCAGCACCTAACGAAGCTGCTGATAAGATTTCGGAAAAGTGTCAAGTGACAGTAAGAAAAGTGACAAAAACACTGGAAATGCAAGTGGCCGAGCACGACGCAACGTAGAGTTGAATATTAATAGTTCTAATAAAATAGATTTCTGTTATCACTTGCAGTTAACAGTGATACCTTAGGAGTGATTAATTCAATTGACAACAGAAATGTATTTTTTCCATAGGCTAAGTGCTTGAATAAATGCGAAATGTTTATATTGCACAAATAAAAGATAATCATCGCAGCAAAAAGAATTCGTACACACTTACCATTAATCGCAGAATGAAACAACAAATGCTCGGGGGTTGCTTGTAATATCCAGACAGCACTGAAATATTTGGGAAACACCTCAGCAAAACGTTGACACGTCCGTTTACTATTATGTACAATAATGTATATCAATAATATTTTTACTTCATGTATTGCAACTATTCTTGTTTCATATTCAATATTTCGTAACAAAAGTAATGACAACACAATCTCTTTTCTAACTGTCACTGTCAAATGTAATCACTGTATGTAACCCGTACAAATTTCAGAATCGATTTGCGCGCGATCTAGTGACTAGCTGTGGAACACGGATCAAAATGTGCTAAAACGCACTCATATGGTACCATAACGGTAGGTAACTCTAGTTATTTCTTTGGGTAAAACAGTTTTCTGGCAATGTCTTCAACTGAATACAGAATGGATATACCCGTGTATTATTTGCCTCGCGATTCTGACTTGTAGAATATATATCTACATATAGCATTTCATTGGGTAACGTCTGTTTCGTAGGTGTCGTTGATTCGCGTGACACCATATCCCATAAGATTCAGTCCTATTTATTACCTCTTCAGTCACCGGTAATGCTATCTTACCTAAAGGTTAAACCGGTGGAGCTCTCTTACGGCCGACTGACAAACCCGTGCAGATGGACAATTTCAATTTAGAGACATACAGAGCCAATGTATATTGTTCTTGAAAGCTGAAGGCTAAAGGATATGGCAAAGATAGATATACTAAACAATACCTTCAATCATCGAAATGGTGTGGAACTCTTTTCTAAGTTGCAAAATGGATTGACTGCCCCATTCCTGTTTCGGATTCGTTTCGGTCACAAAACCTCTTGAACATGGTAGTTTTTGTTAAGCTAAAAGTAAACGAACCTCATCAATATTTTATTGAGCAGAATGAAAAAATTTACTAAAATACTTAAACTGTAACATGAATGTTACGGTACTTACTTGCAACCAGACCCTGTGAGTTGGCAGAGTGACGGATGTACGGCGTGTATTACTGCACGCTATCACTGTGTTTGAGTCGGTGTCTCGTACCTGCTGAACTCGTACAACATAGCAAACTGATAGGGCTTTGTCCTAAATTATTCCCTGGTGATTAAAACCGATCGTATGACTAATGGAGGCTGGAAGCCATTTTTAATTGTAAAATTCATCTAACCGACAATACAACAGACAAACAAATACCAACTATCCCGTGGTGTTCCACGGACTGACTACCGTTGTCTATAGCAGACGACAAATCACGGCAGAAACATCACGCCTTCTTTTTCTTTGAAAATTAATGAACGCGTTACCCAACAAATTTTAAACAATTTCTTTCATCATCATAGTCCAAAACTCGGTTTCAAATAAGTTTTGTAAACATATCTATTAAAAGAAATCTTATGAATAATATATTCGTGCATAAGTCCTTATGTTATTCTGCATGTACGAAGTCGCCAGAATAGGCCACAAGCGGCGCTGACTACTTCAAATACGTAGCCAATAAGGGTCGGCATTCTACTACATACACTTTATTTTTTTCCACACTCACATCAAGTATAAGTATAATCAATAATCAATAATTAATAAATGGTAATAATAATAATAATACGTAATCCGTAATGAATAATAATTGGTTTCTTCGTCACCGTATTTTCTTCTCTTTTTTAATCCTCTTTTTCTATTCTCCCATTTTTCTTTTTTTTTTGCAAAACAATAGTTTTCCTCTCTAACTCTTTCTTTTATTTTTTATTTCGTGCTCTCCTCTCTTTCTTATCTCATCTTGTCCCCACCCTTTGTATATTTCCCGTTTGCATCTCGCGTGATAAGATTTCGTAATAAGCCCCACGGGGACGTGTATCCCCATTCTTGTATTTTTTCTTTATCTAGCAAAAAAACGAAGAGGGCGCCACGCGCCGTTACAAGAACTACATCTTCCTGCCTTAAGAGCTCGACCTATGAACCCTTAGAGAATCTATATCGCTCTTATCAAACATCATGCCGCTCGCACGCTCTTGGAATTATTAAAGAAACGTACACAATTACGTCATGTTCCTCGGTGTTGCTATAATTATATTAATAGATTTATAAATGTTGCTTGTTTCTCTCTTTCTCTTCTTTCCTCTTCTATTTTTGTATCTATCTCCATTCACAACCCTTTATTTTCACTCGGATTTTCAAATTTCCCTTTTTTGTCTCAACTTTGGTACCTCTCTCTTTTTTTCTTATATTCTTTTCTATACCTCATTCGTTACTCCCCCCTGCACTCTCTCACTCTCACTCTCTCTCTCTCTCTCTGCGTCACTCTTTCAACACCCTCACGCACTCTGTTTCTCTCCTCTAGTGCGCGTGTGTATTTTCCCTTTGTTTCACCTCCCTTGCTCTTGAATTCCTCTTCTTCCTTCCGTCTCATTTATATCCGCCATTTCCGCTCGATCTTATTTGCTCCCTAATTGTGTAATTTGTGTAATTTATTCATTTGGGCGACCAAACGCGAATCGCACGCCGAGCGGAAATCCTTGCAGCCGTTCGCTTTTCCCGTTTCTCAAGCAAGGGGGTGACGCCATTTTCTCTCGGTCTTGATAAATGGAGTAGAAATAAACTAGCAATCGAAATCGGAAATCGATACTCTCTAAGATGTCTTTGTTCTTACTTTTTTTTATATCTTTGGTCAATACTTTGTCATCCTTCTGAAAATCCACCGAATTCCATGCAAAAAAATGGGAAATGCGAGAAACCACACCGATTCAGCCATCTGGTGGTCGCGACTGACGGCTACGTGCGATTCCCGTAACGTGAATTAGGTTATGTTAAGTTTCTTATGTTTGTTCTTTCTTCTCGCCACCTCTTTATCGCACTTGTGTCCCCGTTATTCGATATTTACCGTACTTTTAATTATAAGTAATAATTATTATTATTTAATGCATTACATCCGTATATTAACGTTATCCATTATATTTACGGTATAGAGAATTCTTATCCATTTTTATATTAAAGAGTTTTTAAAAATGGGAAGTTGTCGCACGCGAGTCCCGGCTATTCTCACCAGCGGCGCGTCGATCGCGAGCGTCACCAATTACGGTATATATATTTATATATATATTATATATGTACGTATCGTATAATACTAATCATAATAACCTTATTTCACTCGCATGCCCATTTATTGTTTTTTGTTGTTTCTTCATTTTTTAAAATTCTTTTCCGATTCGAACTTCACCTCACACGCATCCACATGACACACATACCTAATACTCTCGCACGCACACATTTTTTAATTTCACAGAATACACGCTCGCATGACTCTTTTTCAATTTTCTTGATTTTTTGTTTTTCGTGTTTCAAATTCCGCCACTAACATCCGACTAGACGAATCGACAGGACCGCACGGGAAAATCGTCGGGACTCCTTAAAAAGTATTTTAGGGACATTTAAAAAACAAGTACCTATAGGTATAATTGTGTTGTTTCTCATGGATCTTACTTGTTCTCTCTTCCCATTACCTTTATTACCCTCTTGTTACACATAAAGGCGGACATCGCGCTTTCGAATTCGTCGTGCCGTTATGTTTTCTTTTTTTTTTCTTTTTTTTCCTTTTATATAGAAAAACAAGGCTTAGATACAAAGGAATTAGAAGCAATATAGAACAGCGACAATAGTGGCTGACATTAGATCGAAATGATGAAATTGTGCTATTCGCTATCGCGCATGCGCACTCTCGCGTCTCGTACAGTAAAACAGGAAACCACGTGGCCGTTCTCGACCGTTTCAAAACTATCAGACAGGACGAGGATTGAACATGGCGGTGGTTTCGTTTGAACACCATTTCGTGAACGCGTCACTACGTGTCGCTGGCGGCAACGCGCATGCGCGATACACAATGGGCGATAAGGGACATCGAAACGGCCGTAAACGCAGATACAGCTCGACGCCAAGTTCCCTACTTGGCCGTTTGTGGCTCTGCTGAGCGATTTAAATAAAAATGATTAATCGAATAAATCGTTTGGCAGCAACGGGACGAGAATCGAATGGCGAACGTCGCCGGTTGCTCATACATCATAGGATTCGTGACAAAGCGAAGGACCCTTATAGCCAACAGTCGAATTAGTGACTGAATACAAAACAATTCTATCCGATATAATGGAAAAGCCATCAGGGGATACTCATCGCGGCCATCTTTCCACTTTTTTCTTCTTCTTTGTATACGAGGTCATAATTGGGAGCAGTACTGGAGACACGATGAGAATCGCGAAGAAACATAGACGCGATCATGGAACTAATTCTATTTCGCAAACCGCCAATGGTGGAACCTTGAGTCCATTTTATTTTTCAAAAAAAAAAAAAAAAGGAAAAAGGAAAAATAACAAAGAATCGAGAAGAGAAAAGGAATGAACTCTAAAAAAAAGTCTATACCTTTAATAATACATTTCTCGATCTTGTCATGCTCCTTTTTCCTTATTCTAAATCAATAATAGATTCGGCCACCGGAAGTTGCCTTAAGCCTCGATCCATCGCTCGCGTCACAGAACGAGCTCGTGCACTTCCGCTTTTCTCGCTTGCACTCTTATATTTTCTTTCTCTCTTTAAGTTTAACGTCACTAAAGTACGCAGCTCCAATGTGTCTTCTCTCTTGTGTAACTCCCCTCCTCTTTTCTCTCATCCGTTTGTTTATTCCCTCTTCCTCTGCTTCCTTTCATTCCTGACGTCACTCCCTCCGTTTCCGCTTTCCAAGGCTGCGCATGCGCGATAAACAATTAGCGTGCGATTATATCGTCTCCCCCCTAATCATTTATTATACACACACGCACACGCAACGTACTACAGCCGCGCACGCAGGCACACCTAACACGTGTATATATACTCGTTTTACCTAAAATGGCCGCACAACGTAGAGAGAATATTTTTCAAATATTCTAAACAAAAAAAAACGCGCGCGATTCAAAAATCTACCTTCCCATTCACCTTAGTCGAATTCGTGTGAGTCTTCGCGTGCACTCTCGTCCGTACGTACACGATTGTTTTTCTTCGTTTAGTATCTCCCAACCACCCCTCCCCTTCCCTCACTCACCATATTCCGTTAATTAGTTCAGGTTAATAACTCTTAATGTAGAGGCAGTATTTCTGATGGATTTCATGGGCTGTCCATCAAATCGTGTCACGGATTGCTTTTACACAGTTCCCCGTGACTTTTTAAACATTTTTCAATAGGATTTTTCATTTCGTAAACACACCCCTCTTCTCTCTTGGATCCTCTAGTTCCTGTATCCTCTGGCTATTCTCCCTCTGACTCATTATCCCACTCACGTATCCTTGCGTGCATGACAGATTGCAGATACCCGTACAAAATATATTCAAAATTCACACGAACGTATAACCACGCGTTGTCTTGATGTAAAGTCCAAAAATTTTTCACGAAATTATATCCGATCTTGCACGATGCCTCGAGTTAGGAATTGAAAGAAAGATGAAAATAGCCAAACTCCAAGAAACGGGAACGTCTTGTTGCTTTGTCGAAGGTTGGTTTTACATAAGATTTTTCAAAATCGTCTTTTTTTCCACTTCTTATTTTTTTTCATTAACTATCATTTGTTCACTTTATACTCTACGATTTACGATTCTTGATGATATCAGGGTTCCCTGCGTGCTCTTTTTTTTTTTGAATCGTGTTCCCTCTTATCAGCTCTATAGATTTTTCTCTTTTAAGTTCTTTTTTTCGGTTTACCTTATTATCCCGAAATTCTTCCACTTTCAAGCAAACATACACACGCATACGTCGTTCGCATACATTATCTCATTGCTGACCGGTTATCTTAACTATCTACATGCTCGAGATGGATGGTGATGAGATGATCGTATTATCTCAATCACTTTCAAAAGTCACTCTTACTCGGCATTCGTTTCTCTCGAACAAATCGGGATATCGAAAAAGTGGCAAAAAGAAATTACAGACGAGAACTCTCATAAGACGCCAACGTTAAGAACGAGCCTTTGCCTAAGTTCCCGTCGGAGCGCCCTCTTGTGCCCTACGCTAAATGACTAGAGACACGAATCATTTGAATATTCGTATATTTTCTTTCGATTGTTTCTTTATTGTATCCACTAAATTTCTTTGGATCATCAACGCCCCCCCCCCCCCCCCC